TTCTTCTACTGGGTCTGTGGAAATGGGTATAACGGGAGGTTAAGGGGTTGATTGATTTTTTTTTCATTGAAGGGAGAGTCATCCCTCTTGTTTCCCTGAGCGACCATAGATTGCGAATATTTGTTTACGGGTTTCTATGTTTGGGATGTTGAATACGATGGCGGTTATGCAGGTTGAGAACCAATCCTTTGCTGCATGATAGACTTTCCTGCGACGGCTGCTACCCTACACCTGGGCGTTAAACAGGGCTGACTTTTTGGCTTCTTGGCTGCCTGATGGGTGGGCGATAAGGCCGGGTTGAGCGGCCGATAAGCTGTACCCCGCCGCGGGGCCGCCTGGCCCTGGGCTTGGGCTGCTTATGGTTGATGGAACCTTCAAGCTACTCGTCATTGTCTTGTGACGACAGGACCCGAGTTTGAGTGACCAACTGAGTTCACATTCGCATCAAGTGACAGCCTCGCCGTGTCAGCCGTCCATACTTGCGTGCCTAATTTAGCTCCCACATTATATATTCATCCTCTTCCTTTCACTGTCAACCGCTGCCTGCGCAACAACCTTGGAACCCTTGAACCTCCATACGTCCACCATCACTCAGCAGCAGGCGACAAGCACGTCAAAAACCGTCAAAATGGCTGCTAAGCCCCTGCAGTTTGCGACTTTTACGTCCGAGATAGAGCTGCCGTTCTACTCGGCGCTTTTTGGCTCAAAGCTCGACCATGACAAGCTCGACGACTCGGCGCGTAGCGTACTGGGACTCTACGAGCCTCGGCTGGAAGACCCCGAGTCCAGCTGTCGCATGCAGATCCTAGGGAATGCTCTCACGAGCGGCAGGTAGGCTCCTTATTTGATTTTGCGCAACCCTCTCTGACCATCGCAGAACTAATGCGCCCAGTCCGCCTCTGGGGACGATGAGGGCCGAGGGTATTATTAGGAACGTCAACACGCTCGAGGATTTTAAGAATATGGACAAGTCTGCCATGATTAAGACTGCTGGTCGACAGGTATTTGGAAGCAATCGAGTGTGCGCCTGCGGGCCTTGCTGACTTTTCTAGGTCTGGGACGCGATCAAAGATGGTAGTATCTACTCTGTTCCGTCACTCCTCTCGTCATTTGTCATCCTCTCCTACGCCGACCTTAAGAAGTACAAGTTCACATACTGGTTCGCCTTTCCGGCTCTTCACTCCGATCCTTCCTGGAAACGATCCGGTCCGGCCGAGCGCCTCAACGCCGAGGAGAGCACAGCTCTCGTGGATAGAGTTGGGACATGGAGGTACAGCGTGGATGCTCGCGAGCATGGGTTCTTCTTGGCCAAGAAGGTGCACGGAGCGCACCACCAGACTGAGGAAACCGACGCCTCTCACAATCTTCCTTATAAGTGGGAAGTTGGCTCCCTTCGAGACTTTGAGGATGGCTTCTTCAATCAGGTCCCCGAGGAGGACCAGTATGTCGCCTTTGTCGACCCTTCAACATACCCCGAGGGACCTGGATGGCCTCTGCGGAATTACCTGATCCTAATTCGGCAGAGGTTTCGCTTGACAAAGGTCAAGATCCTCTGCTACCGGGACACATGGGCTAGGAGACATGAGGCGCGAAGTGTGATCCTTCCGATTGAGATGGACCCTGTTGAGAATATGGAGATCACCGAAATGCCCAAGGTCACTGGGTGGGAGAGGTCACGAAACGGCAAACTCCAGGCTCAGCAGGTCAGCCTGAGCGAATACATGGACCCCGCCCGGTTGGCCGATAGTTCGGTTGATCTGAACTTGAAGCTCATGAAATGGAGAATTGCGCCAAATCTGGACCTGGAAAAGATCAAGAATACAAAGTGCCTCCTTCTGGGCGCTGGAACTCTGGGGAGCTACGTTTCGAGAAATCTCATGGGCTGGGGCGTCCGGAAGATCACCTTTGTGGATTATGGAAGAGTCTCATTTTCGAATCCTGTGCGACAGCCGCTCTTCGAGTTTACTGATTGTCTCGAGGGTGGAAAACCAAAGGCACCCCGGGCAGCTGAGGTGCTCAAACAAATCTACCCCGGTGTCGACAGTGAGGGACATGCCTTGTCAGTTCCTATGCTTGGACATCCATTTACAGACGAGGCCAAGACGCGAGGAGACTATGAGAAACTGGCAAAGCTCATCGATGAGCATGATGCTATCTTCCTCCTCATGGATTCAAGAGAGTCTCGATGGCTGCCAACTGTCATGGGAAAGGCTGCGGGCAAGATTGTCATGAACGCAGCTCTCGGCTTTGACTCGTATGTCGTGATGCGACATGGAAGCGAGACCAAGGTAGAAGGCCAGACGCCACTTGGTTGCTATTTCTGCAATGATGTTGTTGCTCCAGCAGATGTAAGTCTTGTGTGATTCATTGGTGGTTCCACATCTAACTCTTCTCTAGTCACAAAAGGATCAGACTCTTGATCAGCAGTGCACCGTCACTAGGCCAGGAGTTGCAGCTATCGCTTCTGCTCTTCTCGTGGAGCTATTGACAAGCTTGCTGCAGCATCCTCTTGGCAAAGATGCACCAGCTCCGCAGCCAACACCAGGAGTGGTCCCTGAAAGAGACCCCCCTGACCATGCCTTGGGCTTGGTGCCGCATCAGGTCCGAGGATACGTGTCGACATTCCAGAATATCGTCATCCGGGGCCAGTCATATGACTGCTGCAGCGCATGTAGTCCCAAGATCCTTGATGCTTTCCGCAAGGACGGCTGGGGATTCGTAAAGAAGGCGCTTCAGGAGAAGGATTATGTTGCAGAGCTTTCAGGTCTGGCTGAGGTTCAGCGGAGAGCGGAAGAAATGGCGGCTCAAGTTGACTGGGAGGAGGATGATGACCTTGTAGAAGAAGAAGGAGAGGGAGAGTTGCTTTAGCTGTTTAAAGGGGTACCTGTCAGTTGCATGTGTGGGCTGTCTTAGACTTGGATCGCCTGGAAGGGCCTATGGGAGTTAGACTGGCGTTACTTGGGATTGCTTGTCATGTCATGTTATATAGTGGTGTCATGGAATATTATGGCAACCAGCTCTTGGTGAGATTTGAATGGATTCCTGGGAATGGTGTTGATGTCTTGATATGGTCTGTTCATTTGCGGTTACTACAGTGGTAGGAACGAAGACAGAATGGAAGTAATGCCTCCGTGGAGTAAACTGATCCTGGGACTGATCATGATCCAAAGTTCCCTACACTCTCGTGAAGAACCCCGTAGTTAGCAGGAAGAGGACTGCCGTCTTTATCGCCCAGTGATCATCTTTAACGACGATTGTCAATCTAGAGACTTCAATCCATCTGGTCTACTTGTGACGCTCACCGGGAGAAGGTTGAAGATTTGTAAAAGAATTGGAAGCCTCTGAAGCATCACAAGCGTCGGTTTGCGCAAGTTTACGATATGATATCCATATACCCGATCAGTACCCCTCCTCTTCCCTCCTGCCATTCAAGTCCGGACCTCTACTCGAGTACATGTAATGATACTGATAATTCCACTGACAGACTTGATGAGTGCATCCTATGGAATTGCCCGAAATTGCAAATTTCGTGCATGTTTGTACAAGGGAAAAGTAATGCTAGGCATCTAAATCTAGGTACTTTCCCAAGTCCACCGCCTATGATGCTCAAGTCGAGTGTCCGCGTTGCGTTGCGATCACCAATGTCTGATTAGGTAGGTATGTTGTGTTATCGCAACCGTCATTTATGGTTTTCTATTGTTCCAACAAAGTCTTCCCTCTACATCATGGATTTGTTTTATTTTAGTTATTGCTAGTTCTCGGTAACACGTTAGTGCTGGGGTAATTATTGTGCCTTTTGTCCCTTGGGACGAGAAAGTTATCCAAGTCAGAAGAGGCTTTCTTGAGGCTATCTCGCCCTTATTTTCCCTCTTTTCTGGTTATTATGGCGTTATTTATTACGGTCATAAACTTTGGCGATATATGCTTGCGTCATTGAAGCCTAGCATAAGCTTGAGTTCGATATTACCCGAACTTGCACTGCAATTTTAGCCCGCGCTCAGAGGCTGCACAGGCGGGTACAGACAAGAGGGCAGCCTTGGGCAGCATAATCCTCTCCCTTTCCGGTTCCATCAGCTGTAAATCAGGGCAAGAAGCGTAATCGTAGTAAACTAGCATTTGCTATAGAAGCGGTCAACTGCTCTTTATGCTTTGACTGGCAAAATACAACCATTTATGGATCCCAGCTCATCCGAGTCCATAAAGGACATCGTGAAGGCCTGATCCCTTAGAGTGCGTTGACTTATAATGAACCTTACCATATGATATACTTGCCTCCAAACAAACAACTTTATGAGGGTAAGGAGCATAAAAGACAATGCCCCGAATACTGTTAACCTGTTAATTTTCAAGGAAAACTTGCACTGCAATTTTAACCCGTACTCAGAGGCTGCATCGACACTAAGACAGGAGGGCAACATGGATTGGCCCGTGATTGGCAGGCTGGCAGCATCTGTCACTCGTCTCTCCAAATAGGCCTCGGGTTCTAAAATTAAGTTTGCCACCCCCTGTGTATCAGACCCTTGGCGATCCCAAACCCTGAAGACTCAAAGACACACAACCCTGCAATTAACAGCTCCTCCGCTAAGACCAGCTGGAAATTAACCACCTCTCAAATCGGAGCAGAGATACGGACTCCGAGTCTATTCTGTGGGACTAGGGTTTTTTACTGGGAAAAATCTCTGGTTTCAGCTCGGAGATGCGCCCGGAAGCAGAAACTCTGCAAGCCCTGGTGGGGAGGGGGGTCAACACCATGGGATAGGTTGGGATGAAAGTGTCAGTGCTTCCTCGTATGAAGCGATGGTGCCGGATATCTGGCGCTATACCGACCCCGGTTGTTTTGATGGCCTGTCTCTGTGACATTGAGATTGTCTATAACATGACTTCATGCCCCCGCCCGTCCCTGGGGTTTCGGCTCTGGGGCCGAGTCTTTTTCAAGATTCGTGAAGTGAACGCGACGATTTATCGCAAACTCCTTTCAGTCGCGTGTTTACGTATTCATCATGGCCAACACTCGCAACGGTCTGCTCCTCGCTCTCGCTGCGACGGGTCTCGTCTCGTCGGCGAGCGCTTTTGACCCCGCCAAGGATCGATGGCTTTGCCAGCAAGACGATGCTATCTGTGTCACCTCGTTCGTGTGGTGCTCTACCAACAAGGAGGACTCGGCGAAGGGTTGCTCATACCCCAACAACACCTGGCCGTACTATAACCGCGACGAGGGTGATAACCCGGCCATGGTTCTCTGGGATAAGGAGTACACCATCAGCTGGCATGGAACCGACGACGACTACTCTACTCTCATTGAATGGCATTTCGTGAGGGATCCTGAGACGCCCAGTAACTCGAGTAGCTTGACTTGGAAGAAGGGTTAGTTTTTCCGGAATCGCCTTAGACGCGTGAACTGACGCCTGTAAACAGAGCTCAAGAACAAGGAGACATCCTATACGTTCAAGTTCAAGGACCTTGCTGCCGACTTTCCTACCAAGGACCACGACGACATCGACGCCGAGCAGGTCAAGGCTGCCGCCAGCAACCTGAAGAATCTCTGGGCCGTCTCACAGCCCGACCGACCTTACGAGGGCGAGGGACGCGTCCACGGCAACCCGTGGATGGACAAGTCATCAAAGTTCATCGTCATGGACGATGACGTGCTGCCGTATCTCGAGACACAGAGCGAGAAGGCCAGAGAAGAGGAGAGGCGCAAGTGGGAAAAGGGAGTCGCTATTGGAGTCGGCGTCGGGGTGCCTATCCTGATGGCGGCGGCTTTCATGATCGGCAAGATGTTTGGTGGTAAGAGGGAGGAGAAGAGATCGGGATACAAGTCCGTGGGCGCGTATCACTCTGGGTATAATGAGCCAAACTTGGGTGGTCACTAATTGGCGACGAGGTGATGGTCGAGACGAATTTAATATGTACGATACACTTGATAGAAATTTCATTGTTTGATACCCCTTAAGAAGTTCATGCACGAAGATAGTTCATGTTGATTGTTATGTGACAGATGCAAGTTCTTGCATGAACATGAGAAGGGGTCCCTTGACGATAATACCTATATTGATGAAGTAGCAGGCGCATTTAAAGATGCAGATTTTCACATCGAAAACAGACTCATAGTTGTTGACATATGGAATTATATTTCTAGAAATTTATCATAGTCGTAGCTCTGATGCCATGTGCATCTTCCAGCTTCCAATGCACCTCAAACGCCTTTCAATGCTATGTACAAACGTGACTGTGCATTGTCACAAATGGTCCCGGTATCCAACAATGTAGCCAAAGTGTATGGTCTATCGAGGAACGGTCCCGTCGAGTCTCGCTCGCTTTCGAAGTTTGATCCAAAGAATCGATCATGTGCCAATTGGCTGCTTAGAGTCGGCCATCGAAGACAGCCTCGGCGGCAAGGGGCCAGCCAAGAATGACGGCGAAGCCAGGGAAGAAGCTGAAGAAATACTAGTTAGTATGTTTTGTATATGCGAGGATGCAATTGGCAACTTACAAGAGAGCCTGGCTGCCAACTCGCTTGAACATCTTGGCGTAGTCGGGCTTAGCGGGCTGCTGGCTGATGGGCAGGCGCTCAAAGGGATGAGACTCCATGGATCGGCCAACAGTTCGCATGGAGCTGAGGAGAGAGAATTGGCGGCGCTGAACAGCGCGAGCGGCAGATCGGACAACGATGGGAGACATGTTGATTAAGTTGTTTGAGTTGAGAGATTTAGAGATGAATCGAATTTGATGTCGGTATTAAACCCGGGACTCGCAAAAGACGAATTGAGTGGTGATTTTGTTGTTTTATAGGCGAGAGTGGAGAGGTGATTGGAGAGTTGAGATTGCTCTGTTGATGCTGTTGATGGTGGTGAGAGAAGATGGACTTGGAGAAGGAAGATGGCTTCGATTCTTATACAGACGTGGCATGCCGATCTTGTTGGCAGGGATAACAAATTTCTGTTCCCGACAATCGTTCAAACGGCGAGCTCCCAGCACCCGCTGAGCCGGATACATCCATTGTGGTCAGATTTCATCTTGTCTCGAGGCCATCATGCCACCCAGCCATTGTACTGACACCGGGGTGCTTGAGGGTGTAAGACCAGCTGGCCAATGGTGGCCGCCAGAGAGCCATCAGTCAGCACCCCAGGTCGGAGGTGCATGGCACGATTTCGAGGGCGAGGACGGCCTTTGTGGTGCCATCTCGCTCCGGTCGGCGGGGACCGGCGAGTCTCATGATTGGCCAGACGTCCTGACCTGGCTACCGTCCTGTTTCTCCCGGTAACATCTGGCCATGGCCTCATCGACTCATGGCAGCTGAGCATGAGCCTCCGGGGAAGAGCGAGCTATCTGCGTGAGGCTCGGTATTCCACACAAAGAAGGAAAAAAAAATATGCCATGATCAGATGCTCAGCTGAGCTCGACCAGTCATGATGCTCTCCTCGGTACCCCAAACACCCTCTGCCCTACCTCTTTCAGCCATGTTCTAGCCCGGCCGGTCGGGTTCCTGGCATGTTTTGTCCTTGCTCGTTCCAGGTTGCACGACTGGATGGTTTCTAGATTGACAGCCCAGATTGCATGAGATCCTAGATGGCGATGCGATCACACTGCCGTGGCCCTCGCCGATGCCGATGTCAATGGCGTACGGTTCCAGGATGCTGCCACTTTCTTATCATGCTAGCCCGTCCCGTCCCGGACCAGTGGTCTGGTCTGTTCCTCACCGGAGAATTTCATGATGGTGATGGTGATACAGTCAGTGATTACACGGATGAGTGCGGACTTCGGAGCCGACCACTCGGACGAGCCACTGGTGAAACGGGTTACACGATTTTAATCATGTGACTTGAAACGTGATGTCGCGCCAGCCCGCCAAGCCACACCTGGCAACTCCAGAGCCAAGAGCTACCTTGTTGGTGATTTGCCCGAGGGAATTGGAGATCGCGACGAGCCCGAACCGCTCCAGACACTCGTTTACACCACCACAAGCCCAATGCCCCTGATCGATCCGGTCACAATGTCGACGACTCTGATCAAGGGCGCACCCGCCCAGCCGGCTGCACCCAAGGCCGTTGTGCCTGCGATTCCGCTGCTCAACACTTCCCTCGCCCTGCCTGTCTCGATCGTCCATCAGCTGGTGCTTGCTGGCCTGTTTGTCTGGCGCTTCGAAGCCCTCGTGGCCGATCCCGTGTCGACACTCCAGATTGGACTTCCTGTGGTTGCTGTTATCCAAACACTCTATGTGACCTTGTGTCTTCCCGCCGCGGGATCTTCGGGCGCAAAGGGTTCTAAGAAGCTGCGCCCAGGCGAGAAGAAGAAGTCGGATACGCGGGAACCAAAGGCTTTTGCTGTAAGTATTGGAAACATGTCAAACCTGAACACCTCAAGGCTAATACATGTCACCCAGACCGCCGTCATCTCGCTAGTCCTCTCCCTCATCCTGACGCCCGTCCTTCACATCCTCTTCGTCCTCTTCGGCGCCCCATTCCTCACCCACGCCTCCCACACGTTCCTCTGCGCCGCGCACATCGCTGTCCTCGCCATCTACCCCATATTCTACGTTCGCGGTTCCGACCCCGTCCCCCTCCAGGCCGTCGTCAGCGTCTCGGCCCCCTTCGACCAAACCTTTGGCGGCTTCGTGGGCACCGTGGTCGGCGCGTGGCTCGGAGCCGTGCCGATTCCCCTCGACTGGGATCGCGAGTGGCAGAAGTGGCCCGTCACCATTGTTGCCGGCGCTTATATTGGATACTTTGTGGGCTCTAAGCTTCTTGGAAGTGCCTTTTACGGCAAGCGGTGGGCCGTTTCTGAGATCAAGGAGGAATAGGTCAAGGTTCGGGGGTAAAATAAGATGCAAAACATCTTTGTCATAAAATCTGTATATCTAATATGTACAGTAGCAGTGGTGTCTCGCTAATATCTGAGCATCTAGTTGCAATAAATTTCTTTTATGTTGCATCCACTTCGTACCTTTCGTTTACAACGGCCAGTTGTGTAAGACCCTTTGGGCTGTACATTACTACCTACCGAGGTAACAAGGTAGCTTGAGATCACTTGAAGAAAATGAATGAATTCGATGTGCTACTTATCCATACGTGTCTATGTCGACTCGGTCTGTGGACTGGTCTTAAGACATTGTTGATGTTGGTTATACTTCCCTTCTCATGGGTCCGGCAGAGAAGCAAAGAACGCCTTTTTTTTTAATCAGGATAACGCCGTTAAACCTCAATTGTGTAACAGCAAAGCCTCTATGGGTTGACGTATGGACTCATAGTATAAAATATCGACTGCAGTAGAAGTATCATGAGGCAGATACACACCTGGGTTAAGGACAAAGAGAGACGCCTCGATAAACCCTTGAGCTTATCCTCCCCTAAGGATAATAAATGGAGAATAATCAGAATAGGCAAAGAAGCTCTAAAGCTTTACCTTTGTTAGAATATACCTTTAGCTAACTCTTATGATTGAGAGAAGCTAGGTCATTAACGCTCTTGATGTTCTGGTGTTTCCTCGACCCGCGTGATACATTAGGAACAGTGTTGCGCCAGATCATGATGGAGCTTTTAATCTGGACTGCTCGAGTAGAATATGTCCCAGCCACGTCATTCAAGCATCAATCATACTCTGGAGATGTTCCCAGGATGGGGATTAACAAACCCATGGCCCTGTCGATCCGTCATCCAGCCCTGTAATTATGTGGCATGTAAGCAATGTAGTTGATCTTGTCCTGTAGGGTGAGCCATGTAAGTGGCATCACCATAATGACGTACCTCGTGCATTTGCACTTATAGCCTAATTGTTTATTTGATCCACCAGTTCGCCAAACAGGACAAAGGTCGATCCTTTTAAGGTTGAGGACTGATTAGGCGACATGGGGCGCATGAAGCGATGGGGGCTATTAGATAGGTTCTATGGTGCAGGTTTGTATATGATCTCCCCAACGTTGAATAACATAGCTTCTCTTTATCTCATGGAAGCCAACAGTTCCAATCTCAAGGGTGTAGTCTCAAGGAAAGACAACATGAACGTTTGTCATCGGTAGCCGAGCTCTGGGCGTTATCCTACCAACCTCCGTGGCTACCGAAGTAGACCGTCAAAGCCGACCAGACCTTGCGAGTATTGTCAACGACATGGCAAGGGGAGGCGAAATAATGCAGACATCTCGCTCAGGTCCGAAAAAACGAGAAGTTACGAGGTGCCGAGCGATCCGAGCGAAAACAGTCATATGGTTATTCCTATCTTGCTTAAGATACTGTTTGTTATCTGTATCCCCGGCTTACAGAGCCCCAGGCTCGCTGGGTCATTTCACTTCATGGATCGCCATTAGACGAGCCGTAAACCAAAACACTGAGGCCGGCCTTGGTTAGTTCTATGACAACCCTAGTTTCAGAAGTGCAAATAATTGTTGATATCATGGCCGAGATGAGCACGGAGTTGAATTCATGTTTAAAACGTCGTTTTCGCAAACAGCGATCTTTTCCCCAGACACATGGTTCCGTCCGTCGGCAGAGAGAAAATCATGGTCTGCAACCATACCTGATGGGGTGGCCGACATATTATTAATATCTTGGCCCTCCACTCCAGTGCCGAGAGGCCGTACGTAGTAGTTTTCTGCCTGCCATGAAGCTTGGCACTGACGCGTTCCGCCTGCTTCGAAACATGAAGCGATAAAAGAGCCAAGAGCGGCGGTGAAATTGTTTGCTCAGCCACGCGGGAAGCGAAGAAAACATGCCATGCCACAATATCTTGATTGTTGATTGTCTCAACTTGTGCATGGCGGTTTCTGCATCTTGGCAAAGGCCCAAAGGTCCGTTCATATGATCATTCCGTTCCGGGCTGTTCCCGGCAACCGGCACCTCGAGAGGGTCGCCCAAGCCGCTCTAGCCTTGCCCCAATTACGACAGTGAGGTCAGGGAATCTTGTTTGCCAGGCACCCTTGGATTGGGGAAAGCTTCTTTGCCGCGGGACACCAGCCACACGATTGACGCAGCCTGTCTCACTTGGGCATTGGCTTCTGGAAGGTCTAAATGTCTGGGCATCGAGATTTGGCCCAACTACGAGGCGGTGCAGACAGTAAAAAACGAAAGCCGCCAAGCCACATCGACAACAAATGCATCAAATCATGAATGGCGATTTGCTCGCCACAGGGGATCGTGATTCCATGGAGTGATGCTTTGTTGTCGTCGTTGCTGCGCCATATGTGGCTCAGCTGCATCACGGTACCGCCCGTATCTAGCTGCATCCGCGTAAACCATCGTGGCGTCGCCCCACAGCGACCCTTTCACGATTGGCCTGCGGCGTACTCATGACGTAGCCTTCTAGGACATGGAACTGCCGACTACCCAAACCTCTCCAAGCTTCTTACCAAGATGGACCACCTTTGTCCTGGCGCGCATTGTGCTTGGCCAGGAGAAAAAAAGCAGGGCAGAGTTCGCTTGGCCGTGCTTCCCTGCTCCGAGACGTCGTCCCTGTGGCTTGCCCACCCCCTCCTTCATGACCAGCGAATCGATGACGCAGTGCCCAGAACTCGAAGGTGTCGCAGGGCTGGGCTGACGGGGAGCACGGGGTTGTCGGTGCTGGTGCTGCGGGATGACGGGTTCTGCTTGGTTGCGTGGTTCGTCAAGGAAACGGGGAAAGTTGGAACGAGGAGCCAAGATGGGAAAAGGGCAGTGAATGGGGTGTGAGGTGCATGGGTGAGGAAGCTCCGGATCGCTGATATAAAAGACAATTTGTTCCCCCCTTCTTACAACTTGCCCTTTTACAACTCATACTCTGCTCACACGACTCCGTCTTTGCGTAAAGATTTCGATACAACACTTTCGACCACTATCAAACCCATCTCTTCGAGTAACCACTCTTCAAAACCGACATCATGCCTTTCACTGCTAGGTAAGCTCGCCCTCGTCTTCATTCGCGACGACGTCATTCCGACTATTCCGCAATTCATTTCATGTCGCAACAATGTAATTGTCGATATGATGTCTTGCCCCGGATTCTCGAGCTCCTCCGAGACGATGAAGCAGCAAGAAGACAAGACATGTACTGACTTACAACAGCGACATCTGCAAGATCATCCTTGCCATCATCCTCCCTCCCGTGGGTGTCTTCCTCGAGCGTGGCTGCGGCGCCGATTTCCTCATCAACATTCTGTTGACCATTCTGGGTAAGACTCTCTATCTCTCAGTCTCATCTCCGGCTCCTCCGAAGTCAAAGCATCTCGCTTTCCATGACATTCCTATCCCCGATGCGTACAGTCTTCTAACCCCACCTTGCAGGTTACATTCCCGGTATCATCCACGCTCTGTACATCATCCTGAAGTATTAAGGCGGCCTCGCACCTCGCTTCTCGGGGCCGTAGCAGTCCCCGGCCAGCTCAGCTCAGCTCGATGAGATGAGCTCTAGGGAGCGTCGGCCAGCCCCGCTCCCGAACCGTCAACGACCAGCCAGACACGGCAGCTAGTCATGGACCACGGGACACGCATTGTCTGACGGCCAAGACACCAATGACTGCCGAGGATGCCGGGCACGGCTGGGCGCATGCTGTCGCCGAGGGCGCCGTGATGAGGTGCATACTTTTCTCTTCGCTTTGATACCTTACGCCGGTGACCCACGCCTGGGCGTTTGGGTGCCGATTTCACGACAGACATGGAGTGCTCTGCAACTCTTTTTTATTCCCTTTCCTTTGTTTGCGACATGGAGGCGTATGTTGGATTGGCTCTGAAGGCAACGACGCGCTGGGCTTTTTAGTTATTAATTCGATACCCGTCAATCCAACTGATCTTTCCACTTCGAATATTTTGTTTTTCTCTCTGAATGATGTGAAGCTAAAATGGTCCGAGTTACAGTCGCGCAAGTACCGGCAGATGAAGTACACGGACTCTGGCATGGTGTTTTGATTGGCGATCCCACAATAAGTGCAATATTTACGAAGCAGCCTACCGAGACCATGACAAGATTGCGCGATGCGAAGATGATCATGATCTCAAGCCCGCACAGGGGAGGCTGCCCCCAGCCTGGTTTTACCATTTTCATCATGCTGATAACTTTTCAACCGAAAGCGAAAAGATTCTGACATCACTCATCAAAGTTCCAACTACCGGGATTGGATTGGACAAGACAAGCTCGGGTGCTTCGGTGGGTGGCTGAGCAGCTGTCATGCGTCCGTGGAAAGTGGAGTGGGGCCTTGTTTTACACCAGACATTCACATTCGCTCTGAGCTGAGCGTTGCAATGCTGCAAGAGTCATCTGACGAGAGTCTTGGGCGATGCAGGCCAGGGATGAAGCTGAGAGAGTGCTTACCGAGCATGGAGTATTGTAGAATGCTCTAGCGAAAAGCAGTTGAGTTTGACCCCTGGTGTGATTCTGATGTGTTGGGTAAAGACTTGTAAGTCGGGTCACGTGCTTTCGCTCAAGCCTCGACGTGCCTAACGCGTCGCCACACGTGAGCGTGAATTCACACTCGTCACGGTCACTATACCAACCTCATGCTCCAAATATGCCCCCAGGCAAGGTAGAGGTGATTGAAATTCTCGACGATGGAGATACAGCTTCCGAGTCTGGGGATAATGTATCTCCCCTCCCCAAGGCGGCCCAGAAAAGAAAACAGCCCGTCGAGATCGAGGAAAAGGTCCAGTGGACTGACGACGAGGATGATTTGCCCGTGAAACCGAAGAAACGAAGGGCTAAACGAAAGTCTAAAGGGAAGAAGAGAGAGGATGATGTGCATGGAGATGACCATGCCCCCGAGGAAGACTTTGAGCTCGCAGGATTGCCTGAATATCTGATTGAGCGGCGACGGAAGTTTGACGCCAACAAGAAGCGTCATCACGATGCTGCTCTCATGGTTCCTCCGGACTACACGGGTATACACTTTGAAGAAACTAGGAGACTAAGGGAGTTGGACGAACGGCCCAAATTCGAAGAGAGCAGCGGAATCAAACCCTCTCGACCATATCAGGATATCGAGTTACCCCAGTCGGCAGGCCTCATTCCGGCATCAATCGCACAGTACCTCCGAGACTACCAGATTGCTGGCGTATCTTTCCTCCACAGAAAGTTTGTGTACCAGGAAGGTGGCATTCTGGGCGACGACATGGGCCTCGGCAAGACAGTACAGGTGGCCGCTTTCTTGACCGCTGCGTTTGGCAAGACTGGTGATGAGCGTGACGCCAAGCGCATGCGGCAAATACGGCAGTACAATGACCGCTGGTACCCCAGGATCTTGGTCGTGTGTCCCGGATCCCTCATCATGAACTGGAAAAACGAGCTGAACCGTTGGGGTTGGTGGCACATTGATCTCTTTCACGGAATTCACAAGGAAGATGTTCTCAGTGCTGCCCGTGCTGGACGTCTCGAGATCGTCATCACTACATACGACACTTACAAGAATAGCAGGAGCTCAATCAACATGGTTCAATGGGACGCCGTGATTGCTGATGAGTGTCACCGGCTGAAAGACAGATACTCAGAAACCACCAAAGCGCTCAACGAGATTAATGCGCTTTGCCGCATTGGCCTTACTGGCACCGCTATCCAGAACAGGTACGAAGAGCTTTGGACATTACTGGATTGGACGAATCCTGGCCATTTTGGAACAATCGCCGAGTGGACGCAAGCCGTCACCAAGCCCCTGACTGTTGGACAGTCTCACGATGCAACCGTGGCTCAGCTCAGTCTCGCAAGGCAGACGGCCGACAAACTGGCACACAATCTACTGCCACGGTATTTCTTACGAAGAATGAAGACGCTCATTGCGCATCAACTACCAAAGAAGACAGACCGAGTCGTTTTTTGTCCCCTCACAGACCTTCAGCGAGATGCATACGAGAACTTCTTGGATAGCGCAGAGATCGATATTCTGCGAACTCTCTCTGAACCTTGCTGCGGGAAGAGCAAGAAAGGATGGTGCTGCAACCGCTTTCTGTCCAGCGGCACAAGATGGCAAAGCATTGTCTTTCCCAGCATGATTGTGCTGCAAAAGTTGGCAAACCACCTTACTCTGCTGGTTCCACAGACGACCGACGTGGACACCAAACATACCTCAGAGCTAAATACCCTTCGGACTTGTATGCCAGATACATGGAAGCACCTCTACGATAATAGGGACCGGATTAAGAATCTGGTTAATCCCGAGTTTTGTGGAAAGTGGAAAGTTCTGAAGAAGCTGCTCAAGTTTTGGCATAGCAACGGAGACAAGGTCCTTGTCTTTTCTCACAGCGTGCGACTTCTTCGCATCTTGCAGCATCTGTTCACCAACACGAGCTACACTGTCAGCTACCTGGATGGATCTCTGAGCTACGAACAGCGTCAAGAAGTTGTCGACACATTCAACTCTGATCCGACGCAGTTTGTATTTCTCATCTCAACCAAGGCTGGCGGCGTGGGACTCAACATCACTTCTGCGAACAAGGTTGTGATCATTGACCCTCACTGGAACCCTTCCTACGACCTTCAAGCTCAGGATCGAGCTTACCGTATCGGCCAGACCCGTGACGTTGAAGTGTTTCGACTCATTTCACTAGGCACGGTAGAGGAGATTGTGTACGCACGACAAATCTACAAGCAACAGCAAGCCAACATCGGATATACCGCATCGTCTGAGCGTCGCTACTTCAAAGGTGTCCAGCAGGATACCGAGAGGAAGGGTGAAATCTTTGGACTGGGCAACATCTTTAGATATCACAACGACAGCGGGCTGCTTCAAGATATCGTGAACAAGACCAACATTGCCGAAGCCAAGGCTGGTGTGAACCTCGTGGATGTCGACATGGAAAAAGCGGCCAAGGACGAGGAGACTCTTGGCATAGTCAAGAACGAGGACACAGATGCTGAAGATGGTGGCATGAGCCAGCTGGCTGCGTTGCTCACATCTGAGAACCAGGAGAAACTGCTCGAGTCCAAGAAGGCCAAAGTGCCAAAAAGTGACGCTATCCAAGCTATCCTTACTTCGGCCGGTGTCGAATACACTCACGACAACTCGGAAGTTATTGGAACGTCGAAAGTGGAGGAACAGCTATCACGCCGGGCTGCCATGACTTCATATGCAGAGGGCGATGTGGATGGTCAGAATGCTCTCTTTGCAGAGAGTGATGAAGACTGCGGGGACGGTCTGCACAGTCTCTACAACCCCCCAAATGAGGTGATGCTGCGACATTTCTGCGAGATGGCAAGAGAGTTTGGATTCGCGAATGCGACTGAATTTGCTCTGGTGGTGGAAAACTGGACTCAGGAAGCGAGGAGGAACTGCTTGGACACGTTTTACAAGAGGAGAGAGGCTAAGCTGATCCGTGAGGGTCTCGTCAAGGAAGAGGATATGAGAACGGAAGTAAAGGCCGAAATTGATGCCAAGGAAGAGGATGTGAAGATGGAGACCAAAGTTGATATTGATGTCTTTGATGTCAAAGAAGGGGTCAAGGAGGAGGTAAAGGATGAACACCTGGAGACAAAGTCGGTTGTCAAAGTGGAGGATATCAAGACTGATGAGACCAAGGAGAAGGTGGTGATCAAGGCAGAGGCTCTAAAGACAGAGGCTCTAAAGACAGAGCCCCTGGACAAAAAGGATTCGCAAGAAGTCAAGATCAAGATGGACGGCTCTAGTAAGAGGACCTCGATCTTTCTTTCAGATGACGACGACGATGATGAGCTTTAATTGGCGTTGGAGTTTGGATATTGATACCCAGAATAATTCATGATGTCTTGTTCTTTCATATGCATTGTTGGTCATTGCTGTTATACACGGACATTACTTCCCATTTACTCTGTACGCCAACCGTCTACTTGGTCAATGTTCCAAGAACATGAGGAAGCAACTCGAATCTTGGTTCACCCACTGGTGGCGCCAAATCAATCTTTTCCCACGACCCAGCCTCTCTTAATGTCTTGCCCGTAGCTCGGCACATGCGACATGAACCCATGACTTGCGACCAGAAGAGATTTGTGAGCCCTACTCATATCAGCATTGACTCTCTTGAAGCGTAATATCTTCAGCTTACATTGATAAGCGCGGAGTGGGAACCCCCCTTGTTCAACCTGGACATGCTCATAGGCATACCATCGACCGCCCTTCTTGAGACTTTCATACAGCAGCTTGATGTTCTTTTCAGGCTCAGGGATACTGCAAAGACACAAGATGGTGACAATACAGTCGACGGTTCCAGGTTCAATCCGTCCGTCCCAAGCTGCGGGATCATTAATAGACTCGATGCCCACGGGAACAACCTCATAAACACCCTCGAGCCCAACCTCCTTGACACGCCGTCTCAAAGCTGCGGCTGACTGAGGATTGGGTTCAATGCCGTATACACGGGTTAATCCATTCCCACCCTTTCGATGCCTCAGCTGCTCATCATGACCACCAACACCCCCACCAACCTTGGCAAAAACATCCGCCCACATGCCGCTCCCCGCACCAATCTCAAGTACAAGCCCATCAATGGGCGGGTTGACGACGTCCTCCACGACCTCACCGTTGTGCACGCGGCCCTCGAGCAGGGGAATTACGCGCTTCTCGGCATTGACCTTTACCTGGGGTCCAACAAAGGCCCAGGTATTGCCAAACCAGGCTTCCTTGAAGGCTGAGGGGGAGAGCAGGGTGCGGAAGTCGCCCGCGCGGAGGAGGTCGAGGATGGTGCCGGGGAGGAAGCGAAAGGATATGCTCATGAAGAGATAAGGGTCGATGAGATGGTGAAAGAGCTCCCTGAGGGTGGAGAGGATAGCCATGGTGAGCGATCAAGTAGTCCACGATATATCGAATCTTCAATGAGTATACCTTTTAGTTGATATAAAAGTAACAAGAGCGCTGTGTATGAGAAAAGAATAGGGCTTATACTTGGGGTGTTCGGGGACATTTGTAACTTTTCCGGCCCGGCATACGGAGCCGAGCGGGGCCGATGGAGGGGTGTGGTAGCTGGACCTGACGCAATTCACCGAGTTGATTGTCTTATTAGGGAGGATGAAGCTATTCCGTTCATCTTGTATGGTTCATGAGTAGCACTACTTGTATCATGGTGTTTTGGAGATTGCTTCATGGGGAGGGTCTTGGTTATGATGACGAGTAAAGTGTAACTTCGGGCATACTTGACCACCCTCGATAACTGATGAAGCTCGAGTTGAAGTATTGAAAGCTGCTCAAGATACTGCTTGCTGAAGATTTGAGGGCCGAGTTGCTCATGAGTGGCTAAGCATTCCTTGGTGTAGATAGCAATGTAGACAACAGAGGACAGTTCTGGCCAAGGTAACTGACCCTATCTATTTCCCACGTTCTTAGTTGCAACTGCTCATCCCCAAGTCTTCTCCCACAACTTCCATCGTCTCATTCTCTGCGAACTAACAAGTTCACAAAGGCAAATCCCCCCTGACTTCGACAGATCAGATCTTCCATTCCAGCATCCACCATTTTATGCCATGAAACCAAGAATCCGCTCTTGCAAGAAAAAAAAAACCATGCGCCAAACTCCTCAAACCCAATTTGTCTGTAAAGTCCCCTACAGCAGCTCAAAGTCGTCGAGCTGATCCCGATACTTCATAATGTTGCGCTTAATCTTGCTGCCGACGGTCCACGTCACAAAGTCCTCCATGCCCCTCGTAACCAGGTACGCCGGATCCGTGACCGTCTCTGTCCCCACGCGCACGTGGCCCTGCTCAATCATCTTTGTCGCCGCCTGCACATTCTCTGCCATGCGCAGCCGCGTCATGAGCACGGGGAGTCTGCGACGGGCGAAAGCGCTGACCGTCACGTTCTTCTCCACTGCGGATAGCTTGGATGATGAGGAGAGGATTCCCATGTCGTAGAGCTTGTTGAGGAGGAGCTCTTCGTGCTTTCGGCGGGTGGCGTTCTCGGGGGGGAGGAGGGAGAGACGGTGGGCGAGTTGTCGGAGAGACTGGAGGTGTAGAGTTAGCATGACATTGGTCTGTAGAGAGAGATGAGGGTATTGGAAGACATACTCCGCAGAGACGGTTGTACTTGTGGTAGTCCTCAGGCTTTTGGATCATGTATCGTCGAATGACAGCCTTGTCGCGATGTCCATTGTCCGACTTGTATGTGATAAAGTCTGTCTTGCGCAGGAGCTTTTGCTCGTGATGCTTGAGTTTTCGGACCATGATGAAGATATTTCGAGTGTCGCGACAGTATAAGAAGCCTAAGAAAGATCCCCTCGATCGAGTTTCTAGCCGTCGTCGTCGGTCGAGTAATTGGTGATGAATCTCAAAGTTTCAAGGTTGGAGTTTTGGAAAACCATCAAAAATCTGAGTGGGGCCGTTTACTCTCTGCGGAATTCCTCCGGGGGGTGGGACGGGGGCGGCATGTTCCGGGCATCTCAAAAAACCTCCCAAAACTCCAACGACGGAGCATCACCAAAAGCCCACACTCCAAGTCGAAAGCCCCGCCAATTGATTACACACGATGCCTCCTCGACTACCGACGACGACGGCCGCCGAGGCTGTGCGTGCCTTTGTCCGACCATTCTCCTGCACCGCATCCGCCGCCCTTCCTCCCCGTGACCCTTTCACGGGCAGCACCCACACTAGCCGTCTCGCCAACCTCAACAGCAACAGACGGGGCGCCGACCGATCCCCGAGAGTGCAGCCCGGCGATGCTGCCGCGCGGATGATGGAGCGGTACAAGGCTAGGGACGCGAGCTTTGTGCGCGAGAAGACGGCCCAGATGGAGTTTCTCCGCAACCAAAAGATGTCGAGCGACTTCCTCAAGCAGATGCCCCGTCGCTGGGAGGTCGGTGATGTCTACTCGCCTCACGATCTGAGTCCCGTCGAGATGCAAAAGTGGAGGAAGAGGTCGGTGCGGAACGTGGATGTTGTTGATGCTCTCGGCATCAGCCCTCTCGACATGTACAAGGTGAGCTACCTATCTTACACTTCAAATGCCCCTCAACTAACGTGTATAGAACTTCTCCCTCATTGAGCACTTCACCTCTCCCTCGGGCATGATCAACCACTCCCAACTCACCCGTCTCCGACCCGTCAACCAACGCAAGGTGGCCAAGATGGTCCGCCGGGTCCAGGGCATGGGTATCTATCCCACCATCCACGCCCACCCCGAGATGCTACGGGATCAATTCTTTGGTCGACATTAAGAAGCCTAGTTTAAAGTCGGATTGTATGAGATCATGTCATGGTCATTATTTTTTTGGTCATATGTATAACAGCCACGACCTCTATGTAACATATTGATACAGTTGTCTACATCAAAAACCAACTTTTGGAACATACCCCCCTCCTTTTTGATCATTTCCCTTTTTGATACATTTCAAGCTTTCAACACCCTTTTGAGCTTGAACTGGCATAGCGAATCTCTGTTCAACCGCTTGCCTCTGTTCTCCAGGACTTCCCAAGCCTCTGGATACTGCGCCTTGGCCCATTTCTTAAAGGCCTCCTGCATCGCCTGTCCTGGCAAAGCATTGAACGCTATACCTAGTCTGTTGTGTGTTAGTCATGACAAATTTTTGGCAGTAGTCGGGGTCAAACTCACGTCATGTCATCCGGTTCACTCGACGTCCTTGAGCGCATCTCTGTAATCATGCCCTCCACCTTCTCCAACTCCCCGCTGCCAGCCATAGCTCCCAAGTAAGCGTTGTAAACCTGAGGCGGGATTTCCACGTCAAGCGTTTCCAGCTGCTTCCAGATTGAATGGGCCTTCTTGGACCCTCTTGGGCTGCGCTCAAGAGCCCAGAAGATTGCTTCCAGACTGGTATATGTTGGACCCTCAGGCGATGACGCTATCAACTGCCAGAAATCGATTGCCTGAAGAGGCTTTTCGCTGGCTGCGTAAGCAAGGATGAGCGATGTGTACAGCTTCGTGTCTGGCTCTAGCGTCATATCCATCTTGAGCATGTTGTGGACCATCTCCAAAGCCTCTTCGTCTGGGCTTTGTGATAAACCCTCAAAGCAGGAAACATACGTCTCGCGCTTGGGATGATAGTCGTTGTTTCGGTGTTGCCGCATATGGCCAAAGACATGGGTTGCCATATCTGGGCGCTTGCGCTCGAAAAACGCTTCCATCAGCTTCACACGGTGTTTGAAGCTGAGATCCTGGAAGAACTGCCGTAGAAGTTGATATCCGGCCCATGCCCTTGTAGTACTCAGCTCGTTGATACAAAAGTCCACAAGAGCGTCTTGGATCACTGCTCGCTCTGCGGCGCTGTAGTGAAATGCGTGGACGGACAGAACATCCATCACCTCAAAGTGCTGCTCGTTCTCCAGGAAACGGATACAAATAGTAGCGACCGTTTCTGGATCGAGGAGCACTTGAGTCTCCTCTGAAGACTCAAGCATCTCGGAAATATGCTTGTAATCCGGTGTCTTCTGGGCGCAAAGGGCAACGAGATACTCGTTGAACAACTGGCTAAACTCCCACCAAAGGTCAGGCTCAGCATGCCAGGGTTCAAAGTGCGCTACCTTCTTGTAAGCAGCCTGAACTCCTGGTAAGTAGCCTGATAGGAGGTGCATCTTCATCAGGATCAGATGGGATTCGCCATTCAGCCCACGCCCCTCACCCTCGGCAAGTGGCAGTATTTCGTCCACCAACGCTGGATCTCCCATCTCGATGGCAGCACGAAGGAGGCCGTTGATGGTGCTCGTATCAGCCTTGAGAATTCCGTTAGATATCTTTTCCATGTTGGACATCATGACCTCCACTTCCTTGAGGCCTTTTCCAAGGATCAGAATTCCCTGGAACAAAGCATCCCAATATTTCTTTTCAGTTTTCTGGCCACTCAATCCTGTCCCTAGTTCGAGGAAGAAGGGCACCGCCCAGTCCTTCAGGTCGTGGCGGGCAGCAAAATGAGCCAACTGAGGGTAAATCTCAAAGGAGCGTTGCTGGCCGGAGATTTCTTTCTCGAACCAGGCCTTGACCTCGGCGGGCCGGTTTCTCTGGATGAAAAAAGAAACCATAATGGTTTGAAGGCGCTTTCCATAAGGAATACCGTTCTCCTCGGCGTATTGAGCCAGTTCCAGCAGCTTCTCCTCGTGTCCGTCAGAGGCCAAGGCCTGAGCTACGGACAAGAAAGGAGTCCGTTTGAAAGAATCGCTGCGCTTGACAACTTCCTTCCAGTGGGCACGGAGCAAGTCCAGAGCTTCCTCGGAGCCTCCAAAGGCACATAATATACTGAGGTACTGCGGCCACTTGGCACCAGTGGGTGCCCATTGCTCTTTGTCCAGATTGCTTGAGCAGAGGGTGGACCATATGGACCTGGCAAACTCGAGGTGGTCCTGGGTCTTCTCACGAGGTCTCAATTGGGCGAGGGCGTCGAGGGCCTTGACTATGTCGGATCGTTCCAGGCTCTGTTTCGACTCGGGGGATGTTTCGCGCTGTTCCACAAGATAGTTGAGAAGTCGGCGGCACTGCATGGCCTGGGTACCATTCAATGGCCTCCGGCTAGACATTTTCCCATCAAAGAATGATCTCCAAGCTTGAACCAATTCCTCCGTCGGCGGGGGACGCAGATTGTCGAGCATGCGACTCCGCCAGACCATAATCTTCATCCATCCCGGCTCGAATTCGGGCTGCCGCACCTCTCGAGGCGCCTTCGAAAATAGGCCTTCGAATATGTATCGGCGTGACTGCCCATTATTTATCGATCTGGGAGGGAGGGTTCGGCGTAGGGGAGTCGAGTAGAGTGCAAAGGACGGGCATCGGGCGTGCTGGACAAGGACCCGTCGAGCATGGCGGGCCAATTGTGCCCTCATGATGGATTTGTCTATGAGATGGCGGAACTGACGGGATCAGCTGGGTTCTCAACATTGTCGACGATCGAATTGTTCCTTACACAAGCATATTTGAGGCGGATATTGCGCAAAAGATGGCAACGGGAAGCTCGACACGGCAGTTTGGGATCTCAAAATCCAATCGCAGCGCTCTCAATTTGGAGGTTTGGAGTTTAGAAGCCTTGGCCGGGGTTTAACCGTTTGTTCGACCCGCGATGAGCTGCCCTCCTTGATACCCACCTCGAGGTTGGCCTTTTTGCATATTTCCATATTATTTGGAGAACAAGTTATTGAGGCCGAATGTCATAAAATATATGATCTTTACGCAACATGTTTGGGATGGCATGGTTGGTGACCTATTACTGCTCACAGGGAGGTGTAACATGTTGAAGTGAAATAGTAGTGAACCCTGCAAGGTGTAACAGAAGATGTTGTCTATGAGTGGTTTCTCATTCCAATTGTTAAACACCTCTGAGAGCAGTCTAGCTTTCGAAAGGTGACTCCTTGTCGCCGTGGTTAACTGATTGCCCGCTTCTTTATTCCACCAGGCATTAAACCCCAGCACCTATTTATCTACAACTACGTCATAGGCCATCGATATAGAAACCAAAGCTTTAAACCAGACTCACTCTTCAGCACAAGTCGGACCAATTATCACTGGCGGCTCTTACAAATCATCAATGATACTCACGTTGATATCCGCTTCGGCAGCCCATCCGTCATCACCGAGCGGATACCCCGCCCGGTCTCGCAGTTGTAAGTGGGGCCGTGGTAAGGACGGAAGGTGCTGGAGTGAGCAACACGCATGAGGGCACGATGATGAGAGCTGGAGTTTAGCTTCACATCTCCGATATCACTTTCTTGTTGGGTATAAAAGCCGCAGGAGCCCCCATTTGCAGCATTGTAGAGGTTTTTATCAAAAAGATTGTCCATTAGCTTCCGTCATCATGCCTCTTGTCGCTCAGAATCCGAAGCATCGCGTCATCCTGGGTCTAATGACCTTTGGACCCCCTGGTAGTGAGGAGCTTGATGCACGTATCTGCGATTCGGAAACATTTACCAAGGCCCTCGATGTCTTTCAGGGTCGAGGATACAGCGAAATCGACACAGCACGCGTCTATGTCGGTGGTAAGCAAGAGGCCTGGACTCGCCAGGTTGGTTGGCAGGAGAGGGGTTTCACTCTGGCCACCAAGGTCAAGTATCCCAGGGACCCTGGCGACAATACGGCCGAGAAGGTTGTTGAGTCGGTCGAGACCAGTCTGAAGGAGCTCGGAACCGACTGCATCGATGTAAGTCTTCCATCACTTTATGAGGTCTCGTTGTCTAATACGTTGATTAGCTGCTCTACCTCCATCGTCCTGATCGTGGTATCCCCTTTGCAGAGACGCTGGAGGCCATCGATAAGCTCCACAAGGCAGGAAAGTTTGTTCGATTCGGCATCAGCAACTTTGCGGCGCATGAAGTGGCAGAGGTTGTCATGACCTGCAAGTACAACGGCTGGGTGCGACCCACGGTGTACCAGGGCATGTACAACTGCGTCACCCGTTCCATCGAGTCGGAACTCTTTGTCGCATGCAAGCGGTACGGACTCGACATTGTCGTGTACAACCCCATCGCCGGCGGCTTGCTTTCTGGCAAGATCAAGTCACGGGACATTGCGCCTGACAGCGGCCGCTTCTCGGACAACTCTAGGATTGGCAAGATGTATCGCGATCGCTACTTTAGAGAGAGCACCTTCAAAGCGTTGAGTGTTATTGAGCAGGCCGTGGAGAAGCACGGGTTGACCATGATCGAGACGGCACTGCGGTGGATGGTTCACCACTCCCAGCTTCGCATCACCAACGGCAACGATGGAATCATCATTGGCATCTCCAACGTGGACCAGCTGGAGAACAATCTCGACAACCTGGAGAAGGGGCCGCTCCCCGACGAGGTGGTGCAGGCACTTGACCAGGCATGGCAGTTTTCCAAGGCAGATACGCCCAACTACTGGCACGGGGAGTTGGAATACGGATATAATGTCCACGAGGCTCTCTTTGGTGCTGGGGCGAAATAAGTCAGGAACCCGACAGCTTCTATGGAACTTGGGTACTGTACGTAGGCAAGGCAGACGAAGCAACAGAGCTGAGATAAAGGCGCCAACTCACGTGCCGTCCTCTGTGACTACCGCGCCTCATCTGGTTATCTCAACCATCTCAGCTGGTGGTGGTGGTGTGGTGAGACGGGTGCTGAGCGCGCGTGGTGGTGTAGGGGGCACATGACCAAAGGTGTCATCGTTATCGTGGGACCAGCTTGGCACCTTTCAGAAACCGACTCATGATAGCTCAAGAGTAGCGCAGCACGCAATCAGATGTTGAGACGGAATAGCACATGGCATATATTAAAATCAAAGACTTCAAAGAATGTGCGCATGAGCCCCCTTGACAATCTGGAACTTTGTACAGCATCATCTGGCTCATGGCTCATGGCTCATCAGCAATCTCAACGCCGCGATAGGCTCTCCCCGTCTCCAGCAGGACGGCTCAGCGGGAAAGGCCCCTGAGAAGTCTAATCTCGTCCACTGTAGAACCCGCCGATGGGCCGTTGATGACCCCCGGGCCCCCGTGCCCGTGTTCCCCCCGCCCTGTTGGTCCCCCATGCCGTGCGGGCCCAAAGCTGCGAGACAGCGGAGACCCCCTGTCGCTTCGGGGTCTTGGGACCCGCCGCCGACCACTCAACTGCGACTGCGCGCCAGCCGAATGGGAATCGATCCAATCCAACCGATGTTCTTTCAACACCAGCACCAAAACTACCAGGCATTCATTCGACCTGGTGCAACAAGTAGGAACACCTGTTTTTCGCTCCTTTTTACCCTCTCCTTCTTCTTTTTCTTTTCCTCTTCTTTCTTCCCTTAATATCCCTCTTCGCCGTCTATGCCTCGGCGTCACGACAAAGACCAAGAGGTCCATCTCCTTCAAGGCCACGACAACGATCGATTGTCCATAGACTCATCCCCCCTGTCCCGCGACGACACCTTATGCGAACCAGAAACCCGGTCGACCGACAGACAAGGTAGTCCTGGTGCTTCGGGCGCCGCTTCCGATCTTGACGGCTCGAAACGTCACCAACGCGATACAAATACCGACGGCAACGCCAGCCGCGAGTGGCTAGAGTTGGACGACATGGATGCGAATGGCCTCAGCCGTCCAAAGTACCATCGTCATGCGGGTGGACGATCTGGTACTCCTCTGCTTCATAAAGAGGACGACGATGACCGCGGCCGCGTCACTCATACTGCGCATGGCAACAGAAGGACCAGCCTAGGGTCGGAGAGGTCGAGCGAGGATGAACATCCTTATCATCGAGAGATGATGGAGAGGCCATCTTTCAGTCGCCGATCGACTATGCGCAGCCGTAGCCCTCAGACCGTCGCCGAAGCCGCCGAAAGCTCAACGCGCAAGAAGTACACGTATGCCGCATTCTTCCTTGTCATCAGCCTGGTATCGTTCTGCGTCCAGACAGAACTGAGCGCATACATTCAGCATGATCTTGGCTGGGACAAGGCGTACTGCATGATGTATTTCACCCACGGCTCGTGGATCGTGCTGTGGCCTGTTCAGCTCCTCATCCTGCGCTTCCAGAAGCGCGACATTCCTTGGCCAGTCTTTTGGAAGCGACACAAGCAGCATCTGCGCACAACCGCCATCATGATCGAGACGCAGACTCTCGACGTTTTTCATCTTTCCATTCAGCATCGCGCGCGCCCCATTCGTTACATCATCCGTTTTACCGTTATCATTACCTGCGCGCTGACCGTTGCCGGGCTGAGCTGGTACATTGCCGTCAGCTTGACGACACCGTCGGATCTAACCGCCATTTACAATTGCTCCGCCTTCTTTGCATACGTATTCTCTGTACCACTACTCCACGAACCCCTGCGCCTCGACAAGTCTGTCGCCGTCCTCATCGCCATTGCCGGCGTGCTCGTCGTTGCATACGGAGACACCAAATCGGAGGGCACCAAGGACGTGGAGGCTTCAAACCGCTTTTTTGGAAACCTTGTTATCGGCGTGGGCTCTGTGCTGTACGGCCTTTATGAGGTCTTGTACAAGCGTTTTGCTTGCCCCCCTGAAGGCGTTTCGCCTGGTCGCGGCATGATCTTTGCAAACACGTTTGGTTCTTGCATCGGTCTTTTCACACTCACTGTTTTGTGGATTCCCATCCCAATCATTGACTTCTTGGGCATTGAGAAGTTTGAGCTACCAGTTGCTTCAACCTGCTGGTTGATTCTGTTGGCTGTTCTCATGAACGCTACTTTCAGTGGCTCATTCCTTGTGCTCATCTCTCTCACCTCGCCCGTCCTGTCTTCGGTCGCCGCTCTACTGACCATCTTTATTGTGGCCATTGTGGATTGGATGCTCACTGGCGAGCCTCTCAGCTTTGCGGCCATCATCGGTGGCGCAATGATCGTTGTTGCGTTCCTTGGCTTGACCTGGAGCACGTACCGAGAGATGAAGGAGCACGAGGCCATGAAGCCAATTGTGGACCTGTCAGACAGCGACAGGGACGGTGACATTGAGAGCGACGATGATTAAGCATTGTGTGTATTACTGGCATGACTCTTTTGTTTATCTAGAGTCCCTGGGATCAGGGACGAGGTGATGGCGTTGGTTTATCTTGGAATCGGTATCTATGTCGTCTTGCATACTCTGGTAGTTGGGCTCGGATATGCATCCATCGGTGGTCAAAGGCGTTTTCTCTGGGGCTCAAACGCATGGTTCAACAGGGCCTCGGATTTACAAATCTGTTGAAAGCTGGTCGGGATAAGATCAGTAATAGATATTACATACATTCAAGTAGAACCTCATGGTTAATATACTGGATGATGACTTTCCTTGCGCTGTTATCAGTAAAACTCCCCTGAAGCTTCAAATTTCCAATGCTTCCATGCCATCGTGGTTTCCGTCGATACTCTCCAGCTCATCTGCTGGGACTTCAGGAAGTGCGTCTCTTATAAAGAGGCCCTCGCTCTCCTCCCTCCAACCATTCACGCCGTCGATGTAAGCATCATAAAACCCCCTTCGCCAAACTCCTTCTGTCGGCGCATCACCACTCTCAAACACCTTTAGCTTTTCCCAGCCTGGTTGAGGGACGGGATCCAGTATCTGTCTCATGAGGAGCGAGTAGGATGCGTCGCACTCCAGCCATAGGTCGGATAGGTTCACACGAGAAAGACCATCGCTCTCCCAAAAGTCTCGGTTCTTAGGCATGAGTTGGACAAATAGGTGCTCAACGGGCGGACAGTTGGGGATAAGAAAGTCGGCGATGTGGTGGGAGAGAGGGAAGATGGCGATGTAAGAGAGGGACTTGAGGGTTGAGCGCATCACGTTGAACGAGGTGTCGGTGGGTTCGAATATCACAGGAAGGAGAGTTGCCGGTGAGTAGTGAAAGAATTCGTATGTCGAGTAGACCGGTGCAAAGGAGCCTTCGTTGATGAATAGTGAAGTCCAGTCTCGTATGGCGAACAGGTCGATTGGGAGATGACTCTCCCTAGCTGGACTCTCTGACGGCAAAGCGTTGGTCCTCTTGGAAAGGTCGGAAATGCCAGGTTCGCGTGATAACGAGATAATGTAGAAGGTACTGTTAAAGGCCCAGTCACTCGACAGGTCTACAGTCCTACTAAGAAGTGAAGCGACAAGATCTGGTGAACTGATCAAGGTGACACGCAAGGGGTCAATGACGTCGAACAAAGCATGCCACAGCCAATTGTTATCCCAATGTTGTCGACCTCTCTCCTCTTCAGATCTCTCTTGACCGCCTTGGTCAGCGCGCTGGGGCTCTTGAGTCAAAACGGACCAGAGGAGGTTCCACGACATGGGCCTCTCGGGCTGATGAGACTCGGGTGGCAACAGACCCCAAAACTGACCATCAGCATATCGATGCTGTCCAGAGCCCCTAGGAATGTCCATAAAGATGGTGAAACTCTCAACATGCTTCGATACACCGCTCCTGCGAAGAAAGTCCAACACGTCGACACCCGCAACGATGTCTTGGCACGTCGGCTTATAGAAGCGGTGGAAGCACCATACGACGTGGCGGAAGAGGAGGTGCGTCACGGAGCGCCTCCAGATGCGGCACACGAGGGACGCATTCTTGAGGGGTGTGTCCTTTCCGGAATGGACGGGCCTCGAAATCTTTGACGGGTCGCGGTAGAGGCCGCGCTCAAGGCTGGAGTCGGAGTCGAGGAAGCTGAGGATGTGAGCGATGAGCTCATTTGGGAGGTGCTGCATGGTCGGTGGCATGACCTGACAACGGCCTCTTTTATCAACACAGGAATGAAAAATTGAGATGAGATAGAGTTGTTTAGAGCAGATTCAATGGATTTGTGCTCTGGATGAGATGTCGTTGAAGTTGGTAGGATTCTTGGGGATGCAACGCAACCTAAACGTAGGTAGATGGGTTTACCCCACGTCAGCTCCCCCAGATCCCTACCTCCCTCCCTTTTGACGTGACTAGCCTCCTTTCTGCCTTACGGAAGAAAGGGAGTGGCGAGTAGAGGTAGACCACGCAACACTGACCGCGGAGTGTGCCGTGCTATCAGATATTATACACAATGGTAAATTCATGTCGCCTGCCAGCCGCATCACCAGTCGGAGCATCCGGAGGATATATGACATGTACTCGGATCTGCAGGAACCCGTTCATATATGGCTCGGGCTTGTCCAATGAGCCAACAGGATCAGGTTGGAAACTAGGTAAGCTGCCTATCCATTGTGCACGGGTTGAACAAAGACGTGGGCTGATGAGTCGCCTCGGACGGTTTACAATTAGCCAAGAGCTTTGATACTGGACTTTCATCTTATTCCATGAGTTTCTAAAGGTGGTGATTGTATAGACAGGCATTCATCCTCCATGGCCAAGTCGCTCTAGTAGTAGTTGATAGCTGTCAATTGATCCTGGTGCGACAACAAGATGAATGCACAGATGCAATCGAAAGAAATCTTGATGATTATAGTCAGGATTTTAACAAGCGTCTTCTCTATAGTCGAATTTTGCGGGCCGATGATCAATCTATTAGACGTTTGCCTTGAGTGTGGTGTTAATCAAGGACCTTGGAGATGCCAACATCAAACAGTCATCTCCCATCAAGAGGCAACACAATCCCCACAGACTCAAAACAATGGCAAATTAAATCAGTTTGACTGGGCCATTCACTACCTAGGTATACCTAGGCGGCCAGCCGTCGGCAGGTGCCAAACGGCCGACGCAACTGCCCGCCAGGTGCCTCTCTAATCCTAGGCACATAAGAAAGTGCATCCTGTGATGACTCGAAGTTTTGATCCTGATTTATTTATTAAGTGAAAGGATACCCGCATATAAGCTCGCCCATGAAAAGAGTTTCCGACTTACACTCGCTCTTCTCTCACATTCAGCACTTGCTTCTCCTACGCCATGCCTACCCACGTCTTCAACACGGACCTCGACTCCTTCTCCGAGGAGCAGATCGAGAAGCTCGGCGCCTCTCGCGCTGCCATTCTCGAACCCGCCTTTGACGAATATCTCATGTCCGACGACCTACATGAGACACCTCTCCCTCCATCCTCGATACAACTCCTCCCCGCCTCAGATCTCAGCGTAAAGCTCACACGCGCCGCCAAAAGCGATGCAGCCATGGAGATCAACATCAACAAAATCTCTGACCCGGACGCGGACAACTTTATGGGCTTCAGCACCGAGGATAACTGTATCGTTTTCAAGGGCGAGATGGGGCTTTTTGATTCCTTCCTCGAGTTTGCAGAGTCCATTACCCAGGACAAGGACGTGACTGTCGTGTTCAAGACTGCCAACGAGATTCGTATACCTCGTCAGGGTCTTGAGTATGGCTTGAGTTACGAGAATTTTGCGGCGCGTGTTGAATTGTTGGAATGTGCCATGTGGGTTAGAGCTTCACGGCCAGGACAAGGTGAGGTGCCTTTATCGACTTGTCATGAGCTTTGCTCACTCATCTCAGGATGCAACTCAGAACTCGATACCTCATCAAATACGATTCATCCCAGCACACCCCCTCAGAACCTACCATTTGGAGGAGTCATTCCTTCAAGCGCTGGGACGTCCGACTTGGACCATCAACGCAGCAGAACCATGGCGGAATGCAGAAGTCCCTCCAGCGACTCATCACTGTCTCCTCCCCCTGAGATTATCACCACTCCACCGTCATTCAAACGCCTGAGAGAAGAACTTCTCGGCAACGAAGACTTGACAAGGGCCAGCGATGAAAACCAGACCAGAACGCCAACTCGAAGAGTTCGAATCAGAACCAGAGGGTCGACCAAAAAGTAACATGGACGATTGGAGCAGCTGCATACGCCCAAGGACGGCAAGCTCACCACATGATGTATGAGGGACGAACAAAAGGAACGATTTGATGACAGTCTTGCTTTAAATGGATGGCTTACCGAACTGGACGGATCTCCCAAACTAGTTGGCGAGAATACTAATGATTGTCACTTGCTGGATTATGGATACCAAGCAGATATCTTGCAATTCACATCACATCTGGAAACTCAAAGTGAAGCTGTAAGCTCTATGTTCATTCATGAGTGAATATCTAGGTAGTAGATCAAGTGTGATCAATCGTAATCTAAACGCCAACCAATGCCAAGTATTAAATCCATAGTGTAAAGGAGAGGAAGAAGAAGAAGCCCGCTATCCAACCCGGATGATGCGCTCATGGTTCATTAAAAAAGTCGTAATAATGCCATCTAAGCCTTGAGGCCGCAGTCAGTGGGCTTGGCGTGGTAGACCTGGGCGTTGATACGGCCGAGCTGGGCAGCCTTGCCGTTGGTGAGGTCGTTCATGGCGCGGAGACCCATGTTGACACCCTCGCCGGCGTGGTCGATGGCGAGGACGTGGATCTTGCGGCCCTGGTACTCGACGCGGAAGCATTGGCCGCAGTTGGGAGAGTTCCAGCCGGCGATGGTGTAGACGCCGCCGATGTAGGGGAAGCGGGGGATGTCGGACTGCTTGTTGAAGCCATAGCGGGTGATGAGGCCGTTCTTGCCGTCGGAGCAGGCGACGGATGTCATGGCTCGGTTTCCATCATCGTAGCCGGTGTCGTAGGAGACTGGATGTTCATGTTAGTCTGATGTAGGCCAGTGTTGGAGAGAAGATGTAGAACTCACCAGTGGTGGCCGAGGCGGCAGTGGCGAAGGTAAGGGCAGAGAGGACACCGGACAGCTTCATGATGATGGTTGGTTTGTGGTTAAAAGGTGGTGATGGAGTTGTGAGTGTGAAGATTGTTGAGCTGGAGGATGAGAGTGTTGGAGTGTTGATGAGAATGATGATACAGAAAAGAGAACTATATTGACGAGCGTTCAAGGTCTCTTTATACTTTACTGTCCAGACCATTCGATGCAGTACATCTCGTAAAGGCAAGCTCCAACGGACCATGCATCTCTCTCAACTCCGTCACGAGCTCACGATGATCGTCCACATCTCCACATGCAAAGTAAGGCCAGACGGAGGCTTGGAGGCATGGCTTAGCTAGGTTCTCTTCCCCGTACGGATAGCGTCATAGGCTCTGTTCTCTGCCGACCGTCCGGGAAGATCGCAGTAGACTTCGAGGCCCAGCCTCCCCCACGTCGTTCGGGTCCGGATTTGGACGAAGCCTCTCAACTGACAACGTTGCTAGGGTTGCGCCTTGATGCTATTTCGAGCAATCAGAGCTAGTGTTAGTGAGCCCGTGCTGCCATAATCCTCGGTCCAGACTTGGGTCCAGAATAATTCCGCGCATTGACAGACTTGAACTTGGCCTGTTGTGGGGTAAGGGTTTTTTCTCGTATTCTTGTCCACCTCCACCGAGGAACCGACGTAACGTATCCATTCTTGTCTTTTCCGCTGCCCTTGTGAGCTATCGGAGCGGCCGGCGAGGCCCGCGAACTTACGGGGACAAGATCTTTGTTCAGTATTACTCCGAAAGGGCCAACTTCTAGACCCTTTGTTGTGAAAGTTGAACTAGAGATGGGCGTCGTTCGATCAGGTTGCTACCGTGGGGAGACGAGGTGGCCCAGATGACCTCGCCACGAGGGGGGAAACTATCAACGGTGCGTGATGGTCCTGCGGTGCTATGCTTGCTGAGGCTCGTATTCCTGCATCGCTGATGCTGCGCCGAACGCCGTCAAGTCTCGCCAAACTTCTGGGGCGCACTCCCGATTGGGAAGTCAATGGCATGGCGATCACCTCAGCTTTCGCTTTCACAAAGTCCAAGGCAGCGAATTCGAGAAGTGATCATCGTCGAGAGCATCAGGCGCGGGGCCTCGTAGCATGGGTGATCCCACAATATAGATTAAAAACACGAGGACCCGACAGACGTCATGGGAGGAAAAAAGAGCGATCATCCTAACTATCCGAGATAAAATAGCGGTCGAGATGTCAATGCCGGGATTCCCGGCAAATGGAGATTCTGGGCATCTATGCAGTATACGAGATGGAGAAAGATACATTTTTGGGTGAGAGATGACGGGTTTGTTGTCTTTCCTCAGCACTAGGAACCCACGGTTAGGCTCGATAGTTTTATCGACATTGACATCATGGTGGTGAGATTTAGTGCTGCTATTTGGGGACATCCGCCGGAGTCTCGGACGCACGGTTGTGCGCATATTGGTCAGCTCAAGGTTCTTCAACAACCACGGAAAATATATCTACGAACGGACAAATCATGTCCATTGTTATAGGTCAGGTTGTGATATCTACAGAGGCGTTGCTGTTGTAGTCATGTTGTGCATAGACTGTATCCATGTCAGCGAACCAACAGCCAGAAAGGTGCTGATGCTCTTGACTGGACAATGCTTCTATGCACGAGAGGTGCACAAAAAATCATGTCAGATGTGCATTTGATCAATGAATCGAGATGCGGATTAAATACCCCAACGGGTAGTGGTAGATGGTCATGATGTGAGATGCCGACGGCAGCAACACGAGCAAAGTCACGAGGCTCTCTCTCGGGAAGCGGGAATTTATTTTGCAAGGATGGATGCAGAGTCGATTGGTTGTGCATGAGGCTGCTGCGTAACAATCGGCCAAGGTCAGCCACTTCGCTTCGTCGGGGAGGGGACGGGAGGGATCTGAATTGAGGCCTTGGAAGAGTATTATATTATATCCAAGGATCTAATGGGATGAGTGGTGTTTGTGCTTCTCGTATTAATATTCCAGCACCACATTTGCAGCTCCTCTTTTATACCTCAACTTGCATATTGTTTAGTCAACCAACTGCTCGTTCTATTGTTGATCAACTCAACAAGCAAACTCCCTGCCCGATAACCCGATGGAAACCCTTGCCCAGAACATTTCCACAGCCGGGTTTAGCAGCCAGAAAATGTCCAATTGAACCATCGTCGACCAATGAATATCGATGGAGGGGCAGCCATCGACAGACATTTTTTTTTACCCCGCCAACTGCTCAGCACAAAAAAAAAAAGAAGGCTTTTGTATGGATGCGGCCAGCTCCGTCATCGGGGGTCGGCAACGGGTATGACTCTGTCAGTTAATCACTATCAGGGTCGGGTCCACGCAAACTTCTCTTGACTCGATCTTTTCCAAGAGAAAGAAGAACAATTGCCAGAAGAATATCGGAGACTTTTTTTGCGGCTGATCGTCCTTGAACTAGCTCCAATTGCGCCATTGGCAGTTTAACCCTCTAGAGCTTGTGACCTCTCCTCCAACGTCTTTTTCCCACCTGTGAGACACATCAAGCAAATCCACATACAGCGTCAGAGCGTCTCATTAACACATACACAAACAAGATAAACCAGTCATGGAATCGTTTGTCATCAAGACCCCCTGCTCCAGCGCCAACATTGGCCCAGGCTTCGATGTCATCGGCCTCGCCCTCTCGGTGTACCTCGAGCTGCACGTCACCATCGACCGCACAAAGACAAAGTCGGAGCATCCGCTCAACTGCAGGATCACGTACGAGGGAGAGGGAGAGGACACCGGCGACATCAGCCTCGACCCCCAGTCCAACCTGCTGACCCGCGTCGCCCTCTACGTCCTGCGATGCCACGACCAGCGACACTTTCCCGTCGAGACCCATGTTCACATCAAGAACCCCATCCCTCTTGGCCGCGGCCTGGGTAGCTCCGGTGCTGCTGTGGTTGCTGGTGTTGTCCTTGGCCGTGAGGTCGGAGGACTGAAGCACCTCGACTATGACCGCCTGTTTGACTACTGTCTCATGATTGGTGAGTCTTGAGAGCTTTTGAAGCTTTACTTGCTAACCTTGACTCCCCAGAGAGACACCCCGACAATGTCGGTGCCGCCCTCTACGGAGGCTTCGTCGGAACATACCTCAAGCCCTTGACCCCCGAGGACGTCGCCCGGACAGAGATCCCCCTTAGTGAGGTGCTCCCCGCGCCGGCGGGCGGCGAGGACACGGGCAAGAAGCCACCGAACCCTCCTCACGGCATCGGCCACCACATCAAGTTCCCCTGGGCCAAGGAGATCAAGGCCGTCGCCATCATCCCCGACTTCCAGGTCGCCACGCACGCTGCTCGAAGTGTGCTACCTGAAAAGTACTCCCGTCCCGATGTGGTACGTTTGGCAACCTGTTCCACGATGCTAGTAGCCAGCTGACCTCCCTCTCACAGACCTTCAACCTCCAACGAATCGCTCTCCTACCCGTCGCCCTGGGCCAGTCTCCTCCCGACCCCGAGCTCATCCACCTCGCCATGCAGGACAAGATCCACCAGCCTTATCGTCAGACCCTCATCCCCGGCCTCACCGAGATCGTCGAGTCAATGTCGCCCAAGACTGAGGAGGGTTTCCTCGGCGTGTGCCTTTCAGGCGCTGGCCCAACCATTCTGGCTCTGGCCACGCACAACTTTGAGACGATTGCCAACAAGATCATTGCAAAGTTGAGACAGCACAACGAGAAGAAGGATCTGGCCTGCCAATGGAAGGTGCTCGAGCCAGCAGAGGGAACCCATGTTATCCGATAAAAAAAAGAACAAAGAGGAGAGAAAAGATACCTCAAAGGCGTTGATCTCAGATGGAGTTTCGGAGTTGAATAAACATATAGACCGTTTGGATCTCAAAAGGCATCGTCGGGAACGACGGAGCCAAGAAATTGGATAGAGCGATAACTCTAGAAGATGGGGTCCGGGTCCTTTAAAAAAGCCAATCAATTGAAGCCAGGTTATGATCTTGAATTGGACAAAGTGAGTGGCTATGTTAGATACGCGAAGGGTTGACGTCCGGCAAAGGAGGCACATGGGCTTTTCTATAGTCGGGTTCTGCAACATATCAGATACTTCAGAGTCAAAGTAGTTTTAGAAGGACATTGAATTAAACAGCGAATCAGACTTGGTCCAAGATACTTAGTAGATATGCACCCATTGCGAGACTTGTCTACCTATTATATCCCTCTCATGCCTCGCACTAACCAGGCCTATTTCCCTTTCAGTTTCATAGTGGAGGCATCCTTAAGCATACTCTGTACCCCAAACTCCTCAATTTGCTACTACACCTCAAAACTGCAATTGGCTTCATCCCCGGGCCGGCATCGGGTCACAAATCGGTTCGGGTTTCTTTTCCGCGGACCTTTTACGTATCCGCCGTCGACCGGTTAACAAAGCCGGGCTGCAAGACTGAAGCAATTGGCACTAGGAATTGCTCTCATTCATCAAGTGATCTTAACAAAGAGGGGCAAGGGTTCCACCAGCTTTGGGGGGATTGTTAAGCCATCAGCAACTCGATAGGTTGATCGCTCCCCTTTTGCCGATTACATCAGAAGCAACCACTCATTAGTCGCGTAGGATCGCTGCGAGATACCCCGAGGGACCGAACCCGCCGGCCTTCGGCTCCGTTGCCAACTCGTTCTGCATGGCAAATACGTGCTTATAATACATCATGTCAACCCCTCACGACAAGTCCCTCGTTCAACTCTCTTGCTGCTGCTGTTTCTCTGCTTTCCAGTTCATCACGTAGCGAAACATTCTCTCTCGGTTCATCATGGCTGCTCCTCCGCCCAAGGGCATCTACGTGCCCGTCCCTACCTTTTTCGCCTCCAAAAAGGCCGCCAACTACAACTCGGTCAACCCGCCTGTAGACATTGAGACGCAGTCCGCCCACGCCGTCTACCTGGCCAAGAACGGCATCCGAGGTCTCGTCGTCCTCGGCAGCACAGGCGAGGCGGTCCACCTGCACCCCAGGGATCGTCACGCGATCCTGAGCGGGATCAAGGCGGGTCTGGAGAAGGAGGGGTTCAAGGACTACCCCATCATTGCCGGCACGGCGACCAACAGCATCGAGGAGACGGTCGAGCAGCTCAAGGATGCTCAGAAGGCGGGTTCTCAGTGGGGATTGTGTCTTGCTCCTGGGTACAATGCTGCTGTGGCGACACAGGAGGGTATTATCCGGTGGTTTACTGCTGTGGCTGACCAGAGCCCCATCCCTGTTATGATGCAAGTCCTCTCTCAACACCATGATGATTAACACAAGCTAACTATCGCACAGCTACCACTACCCCGGCGTCTCCAACAACGTCAAGGTCACCCCCTCAACATATGTCACCCTCGCCAAGCACCCCAACATCGTGGGCTGCAAGCTCTCTCACGGCGACGTGTCGACACACATCCAAGTGGGCTCCAACCCATCCATCGACTACGACCACTTCCACCCCTTCACCGGTCTGGGCCAGCAGCTGTTCCCCGTGGTTTCAGTAGGCTTTGCAGGCGCCATCGATGGATCCGCAGGCTTCTTCCCCAAGACGCTGGTGCGTCTGTATGAACTGTCGACCAAGACCCAGGCCACCGAGGCCGAGCAGCAAGAGAGACGGCTGCTGCAGTTCAAGGTCAGCTCCATGGAGGAGATTGTGGTCAAGTACGGCACTGTCGGTATTACAGAGGCTGTTAGCAGGCTTAGAGGATTCGGTGATATTGATGGCACGAGGTTGCCGTTGTTTGGAGGAATTCCTGGTGGTGATGCTGAGTGGGCCAACTGGAAGCCCGTGTTGGATGCTGTGGAAGAGGTCGAGAAGTCATTGTAAAGAACAGGATAGAATCAGGAAAATAAAATTAAAACACAGCATCAAGTTCAGGAGCAATAGTTTCAAAGTCCCTAAGAAATGCCTTCATGGTCCCAGTGATATCTCAATGCCCTCTCACGGCGCCAGAGTATTGTCCTCATGGGACAAGGGCAGGATTTGAACCCGAACCGTAGGGTAAGGTTGATGCGAATCTGCAGTGCCTCGCTACTAGGGCTCCATGGTGAGCAATAGTAAGCTACCCTATAACAATAACCGGGCGAATGGTTTAGTGGTATAATACTCCCTTAGCATAATTCGTCCGAATCATCTGGGAGTGGTCCAGGGTTCGATTCCCTGTTCGTCCATCAGAGGTGGTTTGAATCCACCAAAGTCCTTCCTTTTTGCAGATTTCCCCCCAATTTTGTTGTGGCTCTTCTTTTTACCAGTTGTCAGTCAAGTATCGAGTTTCGCAAGACCCTTCAACTCCAGACTGATCTCAGATAAACGACCCTTGTGATACCTAGGCTCATTGTCATTTCGATCGGACTTTAACATCTCCTTCCCTCTTAAGCATAAACCCCGTCTCTCGCTTCCCAACACTTCCTTCCCCAGCTCCAATGACATGTGGATCTCGGTCGAGTCTCCACAGACTTAGGTATTGGTGCCTCGGTTCCCTTTCAGCTCTTGCATTAAAGGGGAACGCGTTTGCGACGCGCGCAGGGGGACCATTGTAAATTAACTGTCTATAATTTCTTGTCGCACGGATATTCTGGCATCTTTGCTTCCCAGCCTGGTATAAATACCGAGGGAGAACCCCTGGTGTTGAGTCTGACACATCCACCCCCTCGTCGCGTGCTGTTCTTCGATTCAACTTCAACACCATGGCTTCTGCGGCGAAGAAGATTCATGGGCTCTCGCTAGCCGGCTCCTTGGCTGCGCCCATCGCTTTGGGCTCGGTTGCTGGATATGCCGCCTACCGTGTGAACTGGATCCCCATGATCAAGGCTTTCCTCACAGGGCCTGGTCGCACGTCGAGGATCTTGTTGATGCTCTTTGTCATCTTTAACTGGAAGACTATGCCCCTTGCCTGGACTGTGAGTGTCTCCTACTTGATTGTCTCTGTACATGCGCTGACAAGTTCTAGTACCGCGTCTTCTACTCCTTTATTTACCACACTCTGCTGCGCAAATCCCCAAAGCTCGGTCCCGATGCCCTCTTCAAGCCCATCATCTCGTCCAGCCATGCGCCCCTTCTCGAGATCGATTACAACCTCCACAAGTCCAACTCGACCTACTTTGCCGACCTCGACATCTCCCGAACACACCTTGTCTCCTACCTCCTCCGCGAGTCCCTCGCCGTGCTCTCCCGCAACGCTCAGAACAAGATCGTTCTCGACCCCAAGACCGACCAACCCATCAAGGGCTCCATTGGCATCATGCTCGGCGCTGTCGAATGCAGCTTCAAGCGGGAAATCCCCGCTTACAAGAACTACGAGATGTGGAGTCGCGTTCTGAGCTGGGATCGAAAATGGCTCTACATCGCGACACACTATGTGCCCAAGGGTACTGCCCGGCCCAAGTCGTGGTTGGACCCTCGTTTCATGAAGACTGCTACACGGGGAGCGCAGGATCCAGCTGGTGGTTGGGAGAAGAAGATCTATGCTACGGCCATCAGCAAATATGTTATCAAGCTTGGTCGCTTTACAGTGCACCCGGCTATTGTGCTCGGAGGCGCGGCTGGACTGCTCCCGGAACGGCCGGGCGGTTGGACCACGGGCGAGCAGCACCTCGGCGATCTTTCGGTTGATCTCTCGGATGTTGATCTGAACGTGCCAGGCAAATGGGACTGGCGACGTGTCGAGGCACAGCGACGCAAGGGAATGGAGCTCGCAGGACACTTCCACGAGCTTGACAGGTTGCAGGAGGAGTTTGATGGCGGAGACAACGGCGCTTTGGGCCAGTTCACCCCTTGATTAATTCTTTTCCGCGAAAGAAAAGAGGATAGAGAAAGACTAGAGAGGGAAGAAGAGGAGGAAGGTTTACACAGGGATATTAGAGAGCGAGAAGGCCTACTCGTCTCTGGGATTGGCGTTTTAGATGGACAGGAATACCGATATCCTTTGGACAGGTAATGTGACCTGGGGAGGACTGGGATATTGGTGTGAACCGCGACTGTATTAATGGGTTTATCATGGATGTATAGACCGTCTTGGTTTGCTCGGAGCAACCAAGTCTTTGCTCTTTGATAATACAACGATAGAAGAAAAAAGGACCCGACCCGCGAGGAATGATGATCACCAAGCCAAACTACGCCTTTGAAATGCAAGTTATACAATCTGTCCCTCTTCACATCCAGTTCTGGAGCATCAATCACAGAAGAGCAACGGCTGCTGCGGCGAATGCTCCCGTCCACATGGATCCCTTGCCAAAGGTGGAAGGCTGGCCGTTCGTCTCGACGGTGTCGGCGGTGGTGGATGTTGGAGCTGATGATGCCGCTGGGGTAGGGGTGCGGGTGGTTTGGCCTTTGCAGATGTCTGCAACAGAAGTTGCTGCATCTATAAGGAGAAGGTTAGACATACAGTATCTCCGGAAGAAGTGTTTATTAAGGCGTGGGTGATTGGGAATGGCGTACTGGAGAGTTCATCAAGGTCACAGCCTGCGATGATGAGGCATGGTGAAGCACTCTCAACAATGGCCTGGACGTTGGAGCACGCGCATTGGACGTCGGTGAGAGAGCAGCCTTGCTCAGAGAGGGCGTTGGTAAGGCAATCGATGGAGCACTTGGGGAGCTGGTCCATAAGCTCGGTGAGGGAGTCGATCGCCAGGGCGGAGGTGACGAGGGTCGTGAAGAAGAGGAAACGCATGGTGGGCAATGGATCCTAGGCGCGAGTGAAGACGTAAATGGACAGTAAATGGTTCAAGGAGAGAACAAGGTAAAGTTGAAGAGAATGAGGCGCGACGGTCCGGAAGGATTCACTGCTGGTATAAATGAAAGGAGTGCTGGAGCAATCTCAGTGTAACGAGTATCCTTGCGCGTAATCCAAGACAAACCAAGAAAGACGGACAAGAAATAGATGACGTTAGGGGGTTCTTCTACCTCGTAAAAGAATGGATTTTCAAGAGAACGAAAACAAAAAACTCTATACGACGAATCCTTCACCCCCTCGGTCTCGGTCACAGAACAAGGCCTCGTCACTCCTCATCTGCCAAGTCCCTCGCCAATGCTGCTCAGCCTCCACTCCCAAGACACTCTCCCGCGCCGTCAGAGTATCACCGTCGTCCGTGCCCTACCGGAAAGGCTGCATCTAACATACATATACATATCCAATATACGCGGGAAAGGAAGGGAGAGAGTCTCCCATGCCGCCGGGGGCTTTTCTGGTCATGATGCCGCCTGGCCCGGCTATTGGAGGATTCGTCTCGCTTGGGAAAAGGTGTGGCGTTGAGACGGGCTGGTGTGACATGGGCAGCCTTGGACCATACAGGAGCATGGATCCGCCGTATCGGGAGATGGGCTAGAGGATCGTGAGGAATGTGGTTGGGTGAAAGACGCGCGGTGGCACTTTGCCGGTTCTTCATTGTCTGTGACGGCTGGTTGTTGGTTGGGATAACCTCAGAAGCCGGCTGTCGCTTAATTGAGTGACTGCATCATCATCATGACCATTCACAACTCGAGGTTGGACCCCTCTACATCGTGATATTGGTCATGAGGGAGTCAGCCCATGCAGGTACGCTGTCCTCTTCTACTTGTGCTCGCGTCTACTTGAGCGAGTTCCGTTTGATTGGAAGTATACAAACTCGAGCTATCTCGACGAGGTGTGATTGACCGAAAGGGTGGCCCCTGACATGGGAAAGGGTTCAGCAAATCTTGACCCCGGAATCGAGGCAAGCCGGTAACATGACAATGCAGGGGTCTGAGCGACAGCCAATCCAGACGGGAGGCTGACCTGACAGACACAGCTTTGGTCCCTGTTGGTGAGCTTGAGGGGAACAAACATCCAACGTCAGACCAAGGTATCACAGTTGGTTTAGAATCACCGGGTGACGGCTTGCTGTCACAGCCAAGGCAACCACTACAAGCTCTCTCTATCTTGACATCCAGTCGACCAAAGCCGGGTAGGTTGAAGTTTTTCAGTTGACATATGTTTGGTAGTCCACAGTGACAGGATTTTCCCGTCTCGGTGCTTGACTCTAATTTGGTCATCATCACGAAAACTTCAACCCATCTCGACCCAAGCTCCGGTTTCACCCAAGAGGAACTTCCAACGAAGTTTAGAGTGTAAAAAATGAGGGTAGAAACCATCGCCCAAAGCGTCGACGGGATGGACCGCCCCCCCTCGCATCAAGAATGAGCCCCGTTGAGTAACTCGGCTTTCGCTGAGCAATCGCATACCTATCAACCTCGACAACAAGTCCTCAGCACCCGATGCCAACACTCGCGAGCGACCAACGTCTGCCAACCATCCACCTTTCGGCCCCCGTCAATCTAAGAAGAACTTTGCAACCCCGGCAGCGGACTCATATCTTCATCCAAAGGGACCGGAGAGCTCGGTTCAGCATGAGAATCAAGTTGCCATACGGGAAGATGCAGCGGAGGGCAGGGCCGGTCGCAGGGAGAGGGCCTGGGTGCAGAGGTCAGCCGCTGTGCTTCTATGGCGGCGCGTTTCCGCAGGCTCCGTCGAGACGGAGACGTCCGGGGACTTTCTCCCAAAGCCAAATGTGAAGGAGACGCTGCGATCGCAGTATCTCTGTTTGTGAGCTTCGAATGGCGATTTATTGAGCGAGGGGGCGGGTGAAGAAGGAGAGAAGAAAAAGGAAGAGAATTGTTTGGATTCGAAATTTTTATTTGAGATGGGGCCTGGGGGTGGGGCTAGAGATGGGGAGCTCTGATGGGGCGTGCTCCTAAACGGATTTTTTTTCAGTGAAGCTGGCCAATCCGAGCCTTTCCTTGAGAAGGCTGGGTCGTTGCCTTCGTGCCTGTTCATCCATCCCAGTATACAAAGCTTTGGTGCTCTCAGCTTTGACGGCGCGACAACGACTTGTCCCTCTTTGTTTCGAACGCAATCGATCTAGAGACTCGAGATACGGTGCGGATATTGCAACATCTGGCACGTTTGCGATAGCCACGACCCTTTGACACGCGAGATCCTTACGCGCCGACGACCACGCAGAAAAGTCGACACCATCCTTTCGAAACTCACCCAACAACTCCCTCCGCAACCATGTCGACACTCTTTGGTGGCGCGTCGAGCTCGTCGACGAGCACCACCGTCGGCGACCTCAAGGCTGATGTCGCGCTCGAAATGCCTCCCACCGACAGCGTCTCCGACCTGGCCTTCTCTCCCGCGCCCAACGGCCCCGACTACCTCGCCGTCTCTAGTTGGGACTCCAAGGTCCGCATCTACGAGATTGATGGGAATGGCCGGAGCCAAGGTCGTCATGTCTACGAGCATTCCCAACCCGTTCTGAATGTCGACTTTTCCAAGGTATGTCACGAAGAAAACAAGATCCAGCTCACAGCTGACCCAGCTCCCTAGGACGGAACCAAGATCGCCTCAGCAGGCGCTGACAAGAACGTCAAGGTCTGCGACCTCGCCTCGCAGCAAGACATGGTCGTTGGAACGCACGACCAGCCCGTGCGGACGGTCCGCTTCTTCGACAGCGGCAACGGGCCCATGGTGGTCTCTGGCTCCTGGGACAAGACGGTCAAGTACTGGGACCTGCGGCAGCAGCAGCCGGCCGCGACCCTGTCCTGCCAGGAGAGGGTCTATACCATGGACGTCCGCGACAATCTCTGCGTCGTGGGAACCGCCGACCGGTACATCAACGTCATCGACCTCAAGAACCCTACCAAATTCTACAAGACTCTGCAGAGCCCGCTTAAATGGCAGACCAGGGTGGTTAGCTGCTTCACTGACTCTGCGGGCTTTGCTATTGGTAGTATTGAGGGTCGTTGCGCGATTCAGTATGTCGAGGACAAGGACTCGAGGTAAGCATCGATAACTACCCCTGAGTGATGCTCAGATCTTTAACTAACACGCTGCAGCTCCAACTTCTCCTTCAAGTGTCACCGTGACCCCCCAGCCAACAGCGTCACCAACGTCTACGCCGTCAACGATATCTCGTTCCACCCCGTCCACGGCACCTTCAGCACGGCCGGCTCCGACGGTACGTTCCACTTCTGGGACAAGGACGCCAAGCACCGTCTCAAGGGCTACCCCAACGTGGGCGGCAGCATCACGGCCACCACCTTTAACAAGAACGGAAGCATCTTTGCCTACGCCGTTAGTTACGACTGGGCCAAGGGCTACCAGCACAACACTCAGAACTACCCCATCAAGGTGATGCTGCACCCCGTCACCAACGACGAGTGCAAGCCCAGGCCGTCCATGAAGAAGCGGTAGACAAACTCCGACATGTCGCGTGGGGTTTCTGATGGGCGGTGAAAGAGGGACGCGGGACGGGACGCAGACGAGGCTCCATGAGCCGTCGGCTGGTTGGTTCGTTATTGGTTGCCTGCATCTAACCTGCGAATATGTACTGTACGACAAAGTGGCGAGACCCAGAGATTGACAGGAACAGAGGCCAAAAGGGGAAAGGAAGGAAGGGAAGGGAAGGGAAGTTGAGCCGGAACATGGAGGGGGGTTGCAGGTGGTGTTTTACGAGAGATGATACCATAGACACAACACAACATCAACACAACATCAACGCAAAACTCGGCGCAGCATGACGCTCGAGAGGCGCATCAATCATTCTCACTTCTATAGTAGTTACTTGGCTTTGAATTTGGCGAATGGTTATTTAGTAATTTATTCGCATGGCGTGGCTCGCGTAGAAGTCTTTTGTTGATCGTGCTCTTTATCTCGCATATAAGTCCTGTACATATTGTGCTTCACATTTAGTTGTTTAAGATTTGGCAATTGTTTTGGACAAATCAACTCGTTGTATTGATATTCCAGGCTGCCACTTTGGGCTTGATTTGCCATGACATTGATCGTAGATGGCTCAGTAGATGGCTCCAGTCACACGCTCTCTCTTGTAGTAACAAGTAGATGGTATGACAGCATATTGCGCAAACAAATGAAAACAAGGCAAATTAAACGCTTATATCTTATACTTCTTTCCAAGAAGCCCATGCTCAAAAATCTTTATCGTGTCATATCCAAGATGGTTGATGTTCTCGTCACGCTTTCTGGGTCTGAGGCTGAGCAAACACATCATCTCTCATGCTTCGGAGCATGTCACCGAAGAATGTGCTCTTGTCGCCATCTTCGGTCTTGGCGGCGGGTTCAGGCTCATGCGCAAACTTGAGCTCGACATTGTCAAGGTTGACGACCTCCATGTCGGCCATGGGCGCACCAGGAACGACCACATCAGGGTCGACGGCGAAGATGATGGGGCGGTTGCCGCGGGCCAGATCGGCTGCGTCGGAGAGAGAGTGGTGGTGAGCGCCGTAGTTGTCGGGAAGAAGAGGCACACGGGGGATGGGCTCGTTCGAGGTGGGAATGGGGTGGATCTTGGGCAAGACGGTTGTGTCGATGTGAGCGGCGGGAGTCTTGGAGGGAGTAGAAGAGTGGAAGCCCTGCATCAGAGGCCGTGTGCGATGGGCGATGGATGGCTGGGGAGTAGGACGGTGGGTAGTGGTGAGACCGCGGGTCTGATGTAATTGTTAGCGACTGGGTTGATCAATTGGCGAGATGGAGACTAACCTCAGAGTGCTGCTGTTGCTCAGAAGGACGGCGGGGAGCTCGGAGGAGCTCCTCGTATTTGGGCGTAAGGACGGCGCCGGCAGAGCGATGCGACTCGGCAAGAGTGCGGGCAAGCTTTGAGGCGGGAGCAGTGATTCGCGACATTGTGATTGATGTTGTATGTGAGATGATGTGTAGATCAGGGTAATTTGCGATAGCGATGTCTAGCTACTTATACGCGAGTATAGAAGCGGTGACGATTACAGCGATCAGGAGACAAGTATGAACAGGGTCGGCGCAAGTTCACAACAGGTAGTGTAAGTGGGAGGGACAGAGAGCTTCAATTGAGAGGAGGAGAGGAGGATTTATGCACTTGGTTGAGGAATTGAAGTAAGACCAAGGTGAGATGAGACAGACAGAAGAGGGGATGAAGCGAGACTACGAGAAGAGGGAGGGAGGGCAGAGACGGGAGCTTGTAGATATAGCTGTGACCATCTGGGGATGGGGATGGGGATGGCGTGGATGTGGATGGGTGTGGGTGACTCCTTCCCACATCGACATCCATCCCACTACTTCCCGTTCTAGTGTCAACAGTTAGTGCAGGAAGGTACTGTACGAAGTACTCCGTACATTGCGCCCTCCTGCAATTGCCCTGCACAGTGGCAACCACCAAGGTGAGGGAGACCAGGCAGGAGCAGGCGGTAGGAATTGCTTCTGCTACTATAACCAAATCGAGGCAAAAGGTCAGTGCGAATCCAACAGCCAACTTACACACCATCACCAACACCCCAGCTTTCGAATCCAGCCAGCGACCCCTCAAACGCCGTCTAGCAGAAAAAGGAAAAACACCAGGTCGAAAGGTGGTCACCCGTCAGCGGCAGTACATAGCAATCGCCGGGGGGGCACCTACTGACACTGCGACGGAATACCGAATGCCGTGGTGTGGGACATTGCGTCTCTGGATGTTGAGATCCAATCAGCAGCCTCATCAAGCACCCCGGTTCAGAAAGTCACCTCGTCCAGCACGGTCTTGCTCCTCCAGCTCTCGTTCTGCTGGGGAGCTACGGATCCACCCCCGACCATCGAAAAGAAAGGGGACAATTATGGAGAATGTACAGTCTTCGCTAAGCCCCAGCTTGCTCGTCCTCGACCTCGAACCACTCGAGCTTCTTGAGCCGTCAATGTCCGATTTGGAAACGAAGTGAAGACAAGAGAGGGGCATGTCTGTATGCAACAGTTGCCCCGTGCTAAAAAGTTCCCCATTGATGGGACAGCACGTCTGGACACCACAAACAAGGGAAGCATGGAACAGTGGCGTCAAGTGACGACAGCTTTCAATGCAGAGCGTCGCAGCACGCCGCCAGAGAAGCTGGTATGGGCCCATCCTTACAGCACCAGCCGCGCTCTCAGTCGCAACACCGCAACCGCGAACGCAATGGAATTGGTGGTGGAACTCGTTGAGAGATCCCCACGCATCAGTGCTGGGATGAGCGAGACAAGGGCCCTGCGGGTGGACTGGCGCCGCTTTAACATCCCCCTCTCGGTGTCCCCATGTCTCACGCTTGTTGGTTGCCACCAACAAGCGTCCGCTTCGCTGATGAAGTTCTCGGCAGGGGCACAGTGATCTGGCTGGCGCACGTGGATGGTGCCTGTCCCTCCTTGACAGATCGCCATGAAACGAACCAATCGAAGACAGGGCCTTGGTAAGGCGGTCAGAAAGCTATGGTACAAGTCCTGTTTGTTTAGAGATGGAGCGTTTGCGTGTCGATTCCTCCACGTCAATGTCAATGACGTTGGGCTTATCTGTTCTGTAACAAGGACGCGCAACCATTATCATATCAGCTCCTCACCTGTGCCAGTCTTCCAGAAGCAAGGTGAGGAAGTGACTCACCTCGATAGGCTTTCCCTAGCACGAGATCACCTGGAACTATCTTAAAGCGGCACCAAGACCAACGCCGCATGTCGGCACGGCACTGGGGAAGCACAAGCAGAAGCACAAGCACGCACAGGGCACCTTGTCAAGAGCTCGACTCCGGGAGGGGACCCGTGACAAGGAAAACAGGCCAGTCTGCCCAGACTCGAAGGTCCCCAGGTCCACTCGCAGGAACCCGCCAGCTCGGTTGCTCGGGAGTCCCCTTTGGGCCGGGGAGAAAGAGCAGACTCCGTCGCAGATCCCAGTGTCTTTGGCACCTTGATTGGGGGTTTCCCATCGGTAATTGCTTGGTCCAAAGTGTGAATTGCCTCGGTCGACCGGACGGAGAACGTCCGATGTCAGATATTCGGCATTCAAGTTATCAGATGCTAAGATCTCGTAGTTACGAGCTTAACATTCGGAGAAGCAGTCATGTTTGGGCATCTCGACAGAGGAACAGGAAGCATCGACGGCACTTGATGCTGCCCATGCTCTCCAGACCCTGGTGTTGCTGACTTGAGACTAGGCTGTGCCAAAGCTAGGGTTGCGCACGTGTCGAATTGTTGAGCTACACTCTGGCCCGATTTCAAATTGAAAGGTCAAATATGCCAATGGAAGTCTAGAGCCAAGCTCAGGCGAGACAGGGGAAAGTTGAGACAGGGCGGTGCGTTGAGAATGGAGGGCGGCGGCACGACTAACTGCCCCGGATGGTAGGTAGGGGAGGGGATGGCTGCTATTGTTGGAATTACGGCGGACCCGGCGCATCCAAAATTGTTGAACTCACCTGGTTCCTGGACGCTATCGACCGCTTCACCTTGAACTCACCGAGCGCAATCTTGAACGGGAAGGGATCCGATAGCACATGGCTTCGGCAATGGCCATGGTGATGTCGATCTTGCTACAGTGATGGACACGCCAAGATGACGCTTCAGGGGGCTGACGGTGAAGCACAAGCTCAACAAAAAACAAAAATACAGGCAGATACTGCGTACGCAGACAGCCAATCACCTCTGGCAACCATGAACACGAACTATCATGGCTGCCGTGTTCGTTATCTCTGGAAGCACGACAATGTCGCTGGCTGAGTCTAAGTGATGATATCAGACGATAAAGATATCAGCTTCGGCCCTTTTGACAGTGATACATCTGCCTCGGTTCGCTCTGGTATGGAAAAGCTCGCTCAGCTCAGCTCATCCCACACATCGCGAGTTACTGATCGTCAACCGGAAACGATTTCACATGCCTTTCGTGCAGATGTGATGCGATAACGTGACCGGCGGTGGGATCCGGTCTTGCATTATCTTGCGTTTGATAGCAAGCCATAATTCGCGTGGCTTTTCCAGCGACTGTTATCGTGGTGTTTCCACTCTATTGCTGCTGCACCTGCACGCAACACCAACAACGACTTACAACCTACATACATAGTTTTCAACTACTATGCGTGCCTCGCCTTCTTTTTACCCGACATAGTACGCTCATAGCGCACCAATCGGTCCTGCGGCTCTTCCCCAGGTTCGGTCAAAGGCCCCGGCTGTTCAGCCTCGGACGATCACCGAAGCCTTGGGCAATGATGCAACGGACTTATGTCCGACAGCGGTGCCGAGCTTGAATTGCTCGGAGCCGCGCCTGTGGATCGAGGAGTTAGCTCGGCGATGTGACGTGAGATGAGTTCATGAGGCTCAGACGACTGACATTTTCTGGATCGATCGTCTTGGCACTTGAGGCCCTTCCTTGCTTGCATTGCCGACGGGAGAAGCTTTGATGCTGGTACCTAGGCATGGCACTTCCCTGTAAGAGGACCTTGCATATCGTGCCGAGGTGAGATCGATCTTGTGCCACACAGCCTGTGGTGGACACATGACTCACATCCATCTCAGCGTGTAAGTGGGATTTCCTCCTTCCCTCGGTCAAAGTCTCGCGAGCTGACAACTTCCCCTGGACTACAGCAGAACCTATCAAGACCTGTGGCCTTGGGTCTTTTCTTAGATCATACTCTGATATGAAAATCGTCAGAGGCGCGTCATTGAGAACTTAGAAATGTCCCGCCTTGCTCAGGAACCATGGAGAATTGTCGAAGTCGACAATTGGGCATGTCGAATTCATCCGTGTGCGGAAGACTTGATACCTGACTCTGTACACGGATGGATTGAAAACACTCGAAATCATGGGCGTCTGATCTCTCGCTGTCTGCCTTTGTTACTCCTGGCATCTTATGGAAGTCTCCTCGTCGAGTTGCTAACAAACTTTCCCCTTGGAACTACTGAACTATGAACCTTGAGTATCCACAGCACGCTGAATATCTCCAAGATGGCAGATTCAGAGCCCCGAAGACGTGCAGTTGAGTCGGACAAAGGTATAGACTACAGGCACCGCGATTGTGCTATCACTTTACTGATGTTCAACGTCCTAGTCTGGACAGCTCTCATCACCAACCTCAACTATCTGCCTGGCCTTCTCACTCTTGACTACTCCCTTCGGGCCGCAAAGTCGCGATACCCCCTCGTAGCCCTTTATACCGACTCATTTCCCTCAGAAGGTCGTGATGCCCTGCGTGTCCGTGGCATTCCCTCTCAGCACATCCCCTACCTTGCCCCAAGCAAAGGTTACGACTTTACAAACGAGCCACGGTTTTACGACTGTTGGAGCAAACTTGTACCTTTCTCCATGACTGAGTATGACCGTGTCGTTCAGCTTGACTCCGACATGCTCGTTTTGAGGAACATGGATGAGTTGATGGATCTCGAGCTGGATCCTCCCGCGCTGGCTGCAACGAGGAACAAGGTCACAAGCAAGCGTGTCTTTGCAGCAGGCCATGCTTGTGTCTGCAACCCCCTCAAGAAGCCTCACTACCCCAAAGACTGGATCCCCTCAAACTGCGCCTTCACGTCACAGCACGCGACCCCTGAAATTGCCCAATCTGTGGGTGCAGACCCTTCCTTCGGCCCCGTGAGCTCCATAAATGGGGGCTTACAGGTCATCAACCCCTCAAAGACGCTATACGCCCAGATACTGGCGTACATGGAGACGAATATGGAAAACATGGACTTTGCAGACCAGTCCCTGCTATCTGACTTGTTTCGTGGGCGTTGGGTCGCGCTACCCTACGTATACAACGCGCTCAAGACTTTGAGGTGGGAGGGTGTGCATGCGCAAATCTGGCGGGACGTCAATGTCAAGAACATTCACTACATTCTAAGTCCCAAGCCGTGGGACGAGATTGACAAGAAGGGCGAGTGGACGGGGACTGAGGAGACACATCGGTGGTGGATCGACATGAATAGGGCGAGGAAGGCTGCGGAGAAGGAGAAGGGGATTCCTAATGACGGTTTTTAGGAGAAGAGGATAGGGTAACTAATGGGTGTTAAAGCATGGGCAGACGTTCATGTTGGTGGAAAGGACAACTTGTTGAGCCTCAGGATGTGACATTGATGCTTTTTTTGTTCTTTTTTTAAAACGAAAAGACAGAATAGTCAAGCTCAATAAAGTGGTATCATGCAATCTGGTACAGACAGACAT